CGCTGACCCTTCATTACTAGGCTGACCTTAAAAATATCTTTGTTTCGCCTAACGCGACCGACTAACTAAAACCACTCCCGACTTAAATTATTTTATTGCACTTTTTTTTATTTTATTTTGTGTGTCAACCTGAAATATATCATGAGAGTTATTTCCCTATACTATGGCTATGGTTTGATTCATTATTGAAACTGGTTGATCAAGACGAAAGCGTCATAGGTGTCGCTTCTCAACAAAATGGTTGCAGACGAATACACGTCCATTCCCACGAAATAATTCTGCCTCTATGTCTGTGGTGCGTAGTTTTAAACATGACGACGATATTTTCAATATCCGTTTTCGAGAAAAATGAAAGCACAACGCGCACTATCGTTAAATACGTGTTGAAGGAGTTTCACACTTCAAGTTCGTGGCTAATCGTGTGCGAGTCGGGCATCACGAAAAATCCCGATGTCATTGATTTGTTTGCCAATAAAGAAGACGAATGTTTCCACCCGGAAAATTATTAAGCTGTCAAATTAGCTCTTAAGTTTAATAAAAACTTTCAGTTCGTTACTTTTTACGTCAGACCCCAAATTCATTAAACAAAATTAATGAATCTGTAGTATACAGCTAATAAGTTTTCTGTATTGATTTCTCTGACTTTAAAAAAAAATCTGAAAAAAAAACCGACCTACCGACCCTTCTCCTCGATTGTGGGTCGGGTTTGGTGAAACAAAGATATTTTTAAGGTCAGCCCTAAATTAATGTTTTGGGTTTTTTTTCTTTTTAAGTGGTATTATATTATCAAATTTGGCAGTCATTTAGAAAGAAATGCGCGCCACCAAATGAAATGGTGTTTGTCAAGTTCGATTTTTCAGCACATTTTGCTTGCATAACCACTCTGTTTGAGGAATTTAAAAAGAAATCATGTATCCTTCCACCACTGAAAGACACTGATTACGAGATATCGCTCTCCGATAATTCCTGAAGAACGTCAAATTGTATTATGTTAATTATGTCATTTTGCCATAGCCGATTTTGAGTATGATTTTGTCTGACATATTTATCATTGAACCAAACTGCATTGATTTCTTTTGCAATTTGTTTAGTATAAATTGTAGCCCGTAAAACGTTATACCTAGAAAAAAATAAAATAAAACGTTTTGTTAAGTAAAGCTATATGACGTCATAGTTTGTATGGCGTCATAGTTGGGACCCAAAATGGCGCTTGTAAATGAGTTGTCGTAACTGTCTCTATACAGGGCTTTGGTTTGAAACCGTTTATAATCACAATTCCGTATTTAGCCCCGTATTGAAATTGTCAGGGGCGGGCTGTGTATTTTTCTTCTTGGTTTAAGGTCATTATAAATTTTACTGGAGACGAAGATTGATGTCATTGAGGCACTCTGACCAACCGGTTTCGTTAGGCCCCTATCACAGTGAAGAATAACTAACATAACGCTAAAACGAAACTATAGTTTGATACACCATTCCTGCACCTCACCCACCCACAGATCATTTTTCTCCTCGGGAGGCCATTATAAATTACAATAGAAACGAAGAAGGTTTTTTGAAAATATATATATATATATCAAATTATGATAGGGTCGATGGGGCCCTAGCACTTCCGGGACACCCGAACCAAGTCTGACAACCAAGGCTAAGGCCATTGGTCCCAATGTTACAGCCCCCCCCCCACCCAAATTATAGTTCTGATGTGCCAAATAAATCTATCTGCCAACCATACTGACAGAAAAGTTGCATTTGTGTGTGTGTGATGGACAATGGCCAGAATATGTCCGTTTTCACTGTTGATGCAAGGGTCCCATGCGCAAGCTCAATCCGGGACTAATTTCCACGGATGGTTTCCAGAATAAATTTCACAGACGGATTAATATGTCCATAATATTCAGAATCAATTAATCTGACTTAGTTTTATTTATTTAGCTAAATGAATTGAGAAAAATGAAAATAAAAATAGGAAATTGCAACAAGATACCCAAGATTAATACGCTAACCGTAGGCCTATACCACGAACCCTACTGACATTTATTCTGTCACCAGTAACTTTCTTGGTCAGGCTTTAAAGGGCGTATGGCTCTATTCTTTGGAACTTTAAAATAGTCGAAAATGGTAGTAGAAGCACATATTTTAATATTAATGTAGTATGAATGTATATGTAGTGATTTATATTCAATTTTTAAATTCGTATTGTAATTTATAATCAATTATGTTTATAGGTGAAATACTTGGATTGTCCAAATTAAACGGCAGTCGTTTCCGCCTGCTTTGTCCATTCTACACGTTTTTGTTTTTTTTGTTTTGTTTTGTTTTTTTAAAATTATTATTCTGTCGTTTTTGAACCACCCATTACTAAGTACTTCCGCATTGACTTGTAGGATAATTTTTCTTTGTTCATTGCAAATTGCACCTGGAACCATAGTGTACACAACTCGTGTACTAATTTTAAAATGTTCATTGTGTATTAAATATTGGATGCTAGGATCTCAAATTTTCACAGCAAGATAACAACATCAATATTGATTGAAATGGGCTCATATTGAATTCTAATTCGTGTTTTTAATTTCGAATATTATGGAAAATATTGAGTTACGGGTTTAGCCCCTTTAAGTAAACTAGGTACACCGTAGAGCGTCTTCTTCTCGTTCATTAGCGAACAGAATCAATATGAAACTCGGCAGGAACCCCACTAACCCGCCTTCGGAGGTCCCAACACGTCTCTGTATCAGCCACCATAATTTTCTCAGAATTTGTAACATCCTGTTTATACTTACATGTATACTCTTTTACCTTTTATCAAGGTGTGGCTGTGACCTCATTTTTATGTATGATTGACAGGGTTTTATTTTTTTATTTTTTTTTTTTTGAAAACTGCACTTCTTCACAACTTTTTGACATATATTGTTATCCGTTTTGTCAATGTCCAGAAAAAAACCAATGTGGGCATTCATTGGGTGTAGTATTATTAACGAGACAAGCAAAATAAAATAACTTTGAAGTGGTTGAAAAATTACAATGAAACATCAAAACGGGTGACTGCATAATTCCCGGCTTGTCTATCCCAGTAAGTTTCAGGATATATTGACAGGAAACGAAACAGATGCCCACCGGAAACTAAGTCACCCGCGCTGTTTATAAAAGATTGACACTATTTAAATGACTGGAGTTTTGAAAATAATATTTAATTGACGGGAGTTTTGAAAATAACATTTCAATGTTATCAAAAGTTACAGTACCGTCGCCGTTGTCCAATGCGAGCCTTTCACCTACACACGCAATTTTATTAATGTTTTTTTGGCGGGAAATCAATATAATCGTTATAAATTTATAATATGTAAATTTGAGAACCATCTTACGTTCACGATCCTTGTTAGTCATTCGACCAATCTCAAAGTTTCTCAAATAATTGATGCATGACTGCACTGAAATATGGTTGAATGGTCTACTTTTCTGCTACATCCGGCCTATTGAAGACGAGCATACGCCATGCAATTTGCAATAATGGAAATTCTTTTTCGTACATGCTTGTGTAATGACCTCAGGTTTCCGTACAAGCCGAACAACTAGACGATGTTCCTAGCCCGGCCTTCCGACCTGCACTACTAACAAGGCGAAACTGATATTCACGATTTATGGTGCCGACATTGCGAATAAAATGTGGCTTTTAAAACGCTGGGTCAGTGAAACTCCTATACGGAAGGGGACAGGCCACAGCTGACACCTCAAAACCATTGCGTTAATTCAAGAGGGCATGAGTACCAATCCACCGGAAGCAGTATTGCTACGATAGTGGAGAATGATCGTTACAAGGGTACAATGACAATCGAGGCTACAGTGTAATTAAAATTAGGTTTTCTTGGCACATGGTGATGTAATTTGACGGACATTTTCAGCATATTGCCATTACATTATCCATTTTTTTTAATTATTATAGCGATAAACTTTCAGATCTGTATCTAATTTTTTATAAGACCACTTTAATATATAAGCAGTAAATGTATTCCATAGAATTGTGAGCTGTATATGCCAGTTCAATTACTAAATACCATTGAAACAATATGATCTCTGTGGGTTATTGTTGATTTTCTTGTGTAGGTAAATGTTCAGCCTATAATCATGACAATTACATTTCAGCTGCCTTAATTATGTCTAGCCAGCACTTCCAGTCAAATAAGAGGTGGGTTTTAACTGTGTCTCAGTATATTAAATTAGCTATAGTACAGGTTTGTTTTTTTAATTTGTCCCCTATTCTTAAATGATCCCTTCATGTCTAAAAGATAACTAAATCAACTATAAATTTATTCAGGATTTCATAGAAAACAATTTTGTGTAAATAGGCACAGAAAAATATGTAGATATTTAATAAAATTTCTTAGAATTTAGTTATAATAAAGAGATTGTTGATAATATACCCCTGGGCAAATAAAGCTCATATTAAGTACATTTACTTTATATGAGCTCATATGCATGTACATGTACCTGCCTCTTCCTATATCTACCGGTATTGTCAGTAGTGTGACAAGTTCCTGTACGCCCCGGTGATGGGAACATACTCAATATAATTTTTTTTTAAATTTGGGCAGAAAGAATCTATTGACTTTATGTCCATCCCACTACATCAAAACATTTGCATTAAAAACAAATAAACAAACAAAAACTGGCATATATAATATTAACATAAATTTCATTTTTATAAAAAAATACAATAGATCTAGTATAACAATTGCACTTATTTGTGAAGTATGAAATCATGGGTACATGTATAATAAATAATCACTATGTGTAAACAATATATAATTTACCCCAAACTTCACTATATTACTACCACCAAGAGAAGATAGATTGTCACATTGCATTTAACTGCAAACCATTTCAGTCGAATATTTATGTTTGCAATGCAGCCTAGACAGAACATTATTTCAACACAGTAGTAGGAAAACAACTTTCTAAGTTTCTATGACTCTTTCAACAGCCTTGAAACCCTGGTATTTCTTGGGCAAAACTGACAAAAATGGAACACAATTATTGTCACGTAGATCATATATGAAATATTTTCTTTTGCTAGCAGGTAACCAAGATCTTTCTACAAATAATGAAGATACACAAGGCTAACAAATTAGAAATATATTGTTATGGATAAATACCTCATAGAAAGGTCGGAGATCCATCATTAGAATGGTAAATGATTCAGATTTCAAAACTGAATACCAACCATCACTATAACCATCAAATGGGCTAGGGAACAAGTCATCTATCTTCAAATTATATATATAAATTAAAGCTATAAAAAACATGTTGAATATTCTTATATGGTGATATTCCTTTAAATTACTGTAGTGACAAAATGGCAGTTTTTCAACATCTCCAAACTGCCGATTCATGCCGAGACAGTATTTCAAATATAAATATTGGGATTTAAACAAAGCAATATTTATATCTTAATGGGTATTCATGTAGTTACCAATTTCGCATGTAGTTACATGGCTTTGAACAATCAAAATGTAGTCTAAAATCATGTAGATATCAAAATTAAAATATTTTCAAATCTCAAATAAAATATAGGTATATCACATGTTTAGTAGCATAGGTTACAAAAGCAAACAAAATCAGATCTGTAAGAATCTTCCACAGAATTTTACATTAAAGCTGCCAGTTAAAATCAATTTGAATATGATAAACACATAGCTGAAAATCAAAACCACTTTTTTATAATTTAATTAGTCTGTCTTTTACAGGTGAAAATAAATCAGTAGTACCCACCAAATGGAGCCATAAATAGAACGTCCTGGTAATTCCTCTCAAAACCCCGTTCAGGCTGAGGTAGTTTCATCCTACTTAACTGTCTATATTTGATTATTATTGTTGTTTTATGGGTATTATCAAAGCTCTTTTATTAAACATGCATTATGCAAGAGCAAAATCTGCTTATTAAAAGTCTTTCTTTAGGCCTGAAATGTTATCTAAATTATCAATTAAACATTAATTAACTTATCCAGACCATAATAAACTCTTGATGTCAAGGCTAGCCTTCGATGTTGGCTGGATTAGATTCCTATATGCCGCTAACGGCCGTTGATAATTAAATCAATAAAAGTGGATAATCGAGACTAAGCTGTTTATATTAATGATTTTAGTAATGATGACCGAGACTATGCCAAAATTTCACCCGCTTCTTTCTCGGCTCATAGTGGATCAATTTGACTGAAATTTTCAGCAAATTACCGTTACACTATCTAGTTTTTAACTATTATAGCGAGAACTGTCATCTCGTTATCTTATCTCCCATAATGTATCTTTAAACATTAATTCAGAAAAGTATATTGTTAATGATTAATTACTCCATATCATTAGATACCACTGTAAGCCTTTATATGATTACAGCAAATGTAATTAAATGTCCAATATTCAGCATAGAGACTGAAAAGTAGCAGATATTTGTTTAAAATCATTCACTGTTATTTATAAGCCATCTTAAACTAAATCAACATATACATGTTCATGATCAAATATATCAAGAATATAGGTGGGATGATGTGGTTCGTGGGATGAAACCACCCAGGATGGAGAAGTTGGTGGGTTGAAACCACCTATAATGAAGGGGTTGATGGAGTGGTTGGTGGGATGAAATCACCATGATGAAGGGCTTGGTGTGATGAAACCACCCAGGATGAAGTGGTTGAAACAATCTAAAATGAAGGGGTTGGCATAATGAAACCACCCAGGATGAAGTGGTTGACGGAATGAAACAACCTAAAATGAAGGGGTTGGTGTAATGAAACAATCCAAGATGAAGGGGGTTGGTTGGAGGAAATGACCAGTTTTACTAAAGACTCACTAACCTCAGCAGCATATTTAATTACAAAGAATGTTCCTGATATATTATAATAAGTGTGTGACAGAAAACACATCAAATATATATATATTACAAAATACAAGTATAATGATACTAATCTAATAATATGAAAATAACATCTTGTAATTATGAATTGTGGACAATGATTTATAAATAATGATGATGATGATGATGATGATGATGGTTGTGATTTTGATGATGGTGATATTTTCTATGACTATATACATTTTGATATTATCTGAATTTGTGCACCTCAATAAAAAGTATATGTATAAAAAGAAATTTGTTAAATACTAAAAAACACCCAAAACAATTTACATGGGAATAAGTACACTATGCTCGGCAATACTAAAAGATTTACAAAACTAGTGAAAGACTATGTTGGTAAACACTGCTAATCAAATCATCTAATATTTTATTTACAGTAGAAATATTTATTGTGACATCATCATCTTTGATTTATTACGCATATATGACTATATAAATCATATTGTGCTAATTCGATTGGGGTTGGGTGGTCAAAAGATTTAATAGAGACCCCCTATGTCCAAGTGAATTATTGCAATAAAATTGTACCATATGTTAGTCCCGAAATGACCTAGTTTGTGTTGAGTGAACTATAAACCCCATCCTGTCTCAAGTAGGTTAGATAAACGTTAAAATCAAACAAGGTAACCTTTCCTATAATTTTATGAATTGAAATTGTTTACTATTATTTCAGTTTATGCTGTCAAAACAAACTCAATACACTGTAAATGTAATAAAATGTAGTTTATGCTTTCTTACTGCTAACTCAATATACAGTACATGTAATAAAATGTAGTTTATGCCTTTTCACGGCTAACTCAATACATTACAATATAAATGTTATAATATGTAGTTTATGCTATTTCATACAGTACTTTATGCTCTTTCATGGTAAAATCAATATAAAATACATGTAATAAAATAAAATTTATACTTTCTCATAGCAAATTCAATACAATGTAAATGTTATAATATTATGCTTCTTCATACAGTACATGTAATAAAATGAAATTGATGCTTTCTTACAGGCACAACTAACTCGATATTTCTAACAACATGTATATATTTACATACTTAAATAAATAATGACTGATAATGACTGAATGTATATATTGCTTTAGAATATAAGAATGATTATTACATGCATAATTCATTCATTGTAATGAACAAACTTTACTACTTTTCTGTGATATTGATGAAGCATCACTATTTCTTGGTGTACTGGAATTTCTGGGTGTACTTATATTTCTGGGTGTACTTGTATTTCTTGGTGTACTAGTATTTCTTGGTGTACTAGTATTTCTTGGAGTACTTGTATTAGATAAGCTGCCTTGGTCACTTTGTAGTCGATTTAATTGTTCCTATAAAATAAGTGTTAATTATAGATAAATTCATAGTTAAATGCAATTTCTATACATGCCAAGTTGTGTTTTTCTGGTTTCTGTGTGAATGAATTACATGCTAATTACATACTAGACCAGGTTTGTTATAATTTCATCAGTTCTAAATGTATCATTTTGTAATCAATAAATAGGATTATCGTCATTTACTTTGGTTGAACCACAGTAACACCAAACACCTTTTTATGGCTCAAATGGATATCATAGATTTGTTTGATATGTAAACTTTTGAAATCTAGTAATGATTTGATTGAAATAGATACAAATCTTCTGATTCTCCAGTCATCTGGCCTGAGGACAAAGTGAATAAAAGGATATTGTGTGCTGTCTGAGTCCGATGTAGATGACTGTATAAAGAAATCACTGTATTATACACCTGACAAAATTATCATACTGCTGTACAAGAATAAAACATATTTTGGTATAAGTAATTAATATCCCCTGCTAAAAGTTAATACGGGTGCTTTCTTTCTGTTGCTTCCAGTGAGACTAATGATGGAGCTTTAATTGTTTATTGTAAATAATAAAACATAATGGTTATATCTATAATTGTTTATTGTAAACAATAAAACATATAAGTTATATACCTATAATAAATTATTGTAATTGATTATTGTAAACAATAAAACATAAAAGTAATACCTGTAATTGATGCACTGTTAGTTGATTATTTTCTAATAATGATGATTGATAATCTAATTGTTTTCTTAATCTCTCTACTTCATTCTGTAAACCTTTCTCCCGTTCCTACAATAGTACACATAGATTTATCATTTCTTGTTCACTATCTCACATAAGTAATTATCAGTTATGAGTTGTAATCAGTTAAGACGCAATACCAGTAACTGAATTACAAAGTACTTGAAGGCTTAATGCATCATTTGCATTTTTGCTAAAATATCAAATTTCTCACGACTTAAGAATGCGTTTGTGAGAGAACCATGCAGGGACCGGCACATGGAGGGTGACCGATTTTCACAAGTTTTTTTTATGTATGATGGGTAACCCTTCCAAACCCCACTGTCACAATATTAGATCCATCAAACCATTTTTAGAGCGTAGAAAAAAAATGGAAATTTTAAAACCCCAAAAAGCCAAAAATTCGTCATTTTCAAGCCATTTTTTAATTACAGGGTACAACTAAACTACGGAAACTAGTGAAACTTTATTGGGTAGCAAATATGGTTAGTGAATATATATTCTGAGAGTTTGATGGTATAGGGACTTAGTGCTGCAAGGTACCAAAATAGCTCAATTTAGGTATGTCATTTTATTTTATCTATATCTCACCCACTGCGGGTATATGGAATTTTTTTGGAATGCTGACTGAAAAGGCAATGATCTATAGTATTAAGATCAAGAAAAAAATTGGGAGGCACCCGACCCGATTAGTTGTAAATAATCTCAATTTTCCACCAAAAATAACAATTTTCATAAAAATGATGAAAAAAAACCTGCTTTATTTACACACTGAAAAGTGTAACTGGGCACTGGAAACCAAATCAACATGGGTTCCAGTTCCAGTAAAAACAAGCCATAATAGAAATAGAAATAAACATAAACGCATTATATACTTTCATCAAATAATTCACTATTAAAAAATGTTCAATTATCAAACTACAAATACTCATTACCAGTAAGTATTTCAAATTAAAAAATATTGCTGTACTTTACTATCTATTATCTATCTAATCATCTATCTATCTATCTATCTGTCTAATAAGTATCTAATCATGAAAACTGATCTCACAATTACACCATTAAAATTTTTAAACAATGAAGTTTGAAAAGCTTAATTTACTGTAAGTTCCAAATGAGCTGTTCTTGGTAAATATAATTAATTTCTCTAGAATAATTTTCAATATTTATTAATTCGGCAATATAATCTCATGGTCTAGAAGAAGGATGATAAATTTTGGAACAGCAAATTGTATAAACTAAATATTTGAATCTAGGGAAATTTAAAAAAAAAAAAATGATGCTGTTTTTTTACTCTAAAATGACCATAGCTGGTTCTCCTTAACTACAAGGTTGGTGACCCTCATATTTCATGTGGGGTATACAGGGTACCCAATGACCAAATCTGCAAAGTTTGGCAAATTTGCCTGACACCACTCCTGCCATTTTGTGGTTCTCTCGCGAACTAATTCTTAACACAAGCGTAATATGCACTCAGATTAATTATTTACCATTTGATTATGAATACAAATTCGAAATACCAACACTAGATAAAATATCCCGGCTTGAAGTCGATTTCAGCTAGGCTACCAATAAAATATGTTGGTATGTTATCATGACCGAACAGCATAGACCGATGAAATTTCAATTCATTTAACTTTGTAATAGAAAGATTTTATATGCCCACATTTTCATGTGGACGTATATTTTCGTCGCCCCTGTCCATCTGGACGTCCGTCCATCCACAATTTGTGGACACTCTACAGGTCACAATTCTTATCCAATTTTGACGAAACTTGAAATATAGGTTTATCTTCAAAACATTCTCAGAGAAACTAATAACGGTTTGTCATCTACTAAATATTTTTCAGTAAGATGAAAGTATAAAAGTAGAAGTCATTACCTCAACATGTTTTTGTGCTTCTTGTTTCATCTGTTCCAAACGTGAATGTCTCTCTTCTTCCATATCTTGTATTAATTTTTCAGCCTTCGCTCGCTCTGATTTCATATGTTCTAATTCACTCTTAAATAACAAAATAGTTGTATAATAAACCAAGGTTTTGTTTTAGTTACAAACCTTATGGCTCAACAGTAAGTTTAGCATGCAATTTGGCTTTCAAACACACACATATTATTTGTCTTTACCAAAATGTACACACATGGTAGTTTTTGTTCTAATAACAATCTTTGATATTCCTCAGTAAGTGTTTTTATTTGGTATGCACAAACAAGACTATCTTAAAGTTGCATTATGTAACGTTTAGATAAAGCGCTGGCTTTCTTGCTACAATAGTTCAAATATAGATAATGAAAAATGAATATATTCAAAATTTCATTCAAATTACATTATTTTGGGCAGAGTTATGACTGCTTGAAGATGTAGCATAGATCTTTTATTATCGTACTTGACAAGTCTTGATTATCTGTTTTATCATTAGATGGTTTAATCTTGCAGGTGTTCAAACCTATTTAAATCTCGGCCATCTGATGTTCTAGAGAGTTGATTACAGACTTTTCATGTGAATAAATGTCTAAATATTAATTTATTTAGCATTTGAAGACAAAAGAAAGACCTGCTATGGGCAGATTTAGCTGTTACATAATGCATCTTTTAATAAGGATCCTATTTCAATACCCCTCCCTTAACTTCGTTCAGCTTGGGGTTACAAGGAATAAACTCTATATATTACCAACAAGGCCTCTTCTCTTCGTTTAACAGTTACATCAGATACAAAACCTCTAGCTTCTAACTGATCTTTTAATTCTGGATTAGAGCTGTTATAATATAAAACATTCACCATAATAATATTAATAAAACATATTTGATGCTTGTACAACTTTAGTGACATAATCCAAGGCCCAATAAATAATTTCCAACAATGATAAACTTAGTGATTAGAGCTGAGATTTAAATATTGAGGTAAGTATTTTAAATCTTAATGACAGTAGAGCTGACCGGCGCTATTGCACTTTCGTACCTCTACCAGTTCCCGTGGTCGTAGGAACTTGAAATTATTAGAGGATGTTAAGGGGGACTAGCAATGACCACACACCAAATTTCAGCCGAATCGATCAATAACTTTTTATTTTACTGACCTTTTAATTTCTAACGAGAGAGAACTTCATCTGTTTGACGCCATTTGCTTTGTTTACTATTTAGACTCGAATAACAAGACACTAAGACGGAAACCGACACACTGCACTAGCTGCCTATCTCTGCAGTTCATAAAAATTAATATAATTTTCGTATACTTTAATTTTTGCGCGAAGCCACCATGTTCTATAAAATACTATTTGGTGTTGATCAGTGGATTGGCCTTTAGGTGTAAATATTGCCGTGACCTTGATTTTGACCTTGAGTCTTAACTTCCCATCCATATCAGGGCCTTTGCGTTTATGATTGCCGTGGCCTTATTTCTTACTGTATTTTCAAAGTTAATGTTCGAGGTGAAAGCAGAGACGACGTCCTTCAGAAAAGATAATTGGGTCAAAGTCGTAGGTCAAGGTCATAATACAGAAAACTAAACTCAAACTTTTCAAAGTCATTTTTTGAACATTTGACCTTGACTTACGACCTTGACCCCGTAACCGTTTTCGAAGGCTATCATCTTGGCTTGAATCATGGACGTTTACCTTGGTTCTGTCACACACTGCTCGGTCAGAAAAGGGTCAAACGCAGAGGGGCCGTGTCCGAAAGGAAGTCAATGGGCGTGGTCAATGTGAAAGGTCGTGGTGACCTCCACTAGTCACCGTTAACCATCCGTGACCTTGAACCTGACCTAGTGTCCGAACTTCCCATCCATCTCGGGCCCTTTGCGTTTATGCGTGCCGTGACCTTATTTCTTACTGTATTATCAAAGTTAATGTTCGAGGTGAAAGCAGAGACGGCGTCATTCAGAAAAGATAATTGGGTCAAAGTCGTAGGTCAAGGTCATGTTACAGAAAACTAAACTCAAACTTTTCAAAGTCATTTTTGGGACAGGGCCAGGGTAAACGTCGATGGTTCAAGCCAAGATGATGGGCTTTGAAAATGGTTACGGGTCAAGCTCGTAAGTCAAGGTCAAATGTCCCAAAACTGACCTTGAAAAGTTTGAGTTCAGTTTTCTATAACATGACCTTGACCTACGACTTTGACCCAATTATCTTTTCTGAGGGACGTTGTCTTTGCTTTCACCTCAAGCATTAACTTTGATAATACAGTAAGAAATAGGGTCACGGCAAGCATAAACGAAAAGGGCCCGAGATTGATGGGAAGTTTGGACTCAAGGTCGAAGTCAAGGTCACGGATGGTTAAAGGTGACTAGTGGAGGTCAGCACGAACTTTCACATTGACCACGCCCTTTGACTTCCTTTCGGACACGGGCCCCTCTGCGTTTGACCGTTTTCTGACCGAGCAGTGTGCGACAGGGCCAGGGTAAACGTCGATAGTTCAAGCCAAGATTATGGGCTTTGAAAATGGTTATGGGATCAAGGTCGTAAGTCAAGGTCAAATGTCCCAAAACTGACTTTGAAAAGTTTGAGTTCAGTTTTCTGTAACATGACCTTGACCTATGACTTTGACCCATTTATCTTTTCTGAAGGACGTTGTCTCTGCTTTCACCTCAAGCATTAACTTTGATAATACAGTAAGAAATAGGGTCACGGCAAGCATAAACGAAAAGGGCCCGAGATGGATGGGAAGTTTGGACTCAAGGTCGAAGTCGAGGTCACGGATGGTTAAAGGTGACTAGTGGAGGTCACCACGAACTTTCACATTGACCACGCCTATTGACTTCCTTTCGGGCACGGGCCCCTCTGCGTTTGACCGTTTTCTGACCGAGCAGTGTGCGACAGGACCAAATTAAACGCCCATGATTCAAGCCAAGTTGATAGCCTTCGAAAATGGTTACGAGGTCAAGGTCGTAAGTCAAGGTCAAATGTCCCAAAACTGACTTTGAAAAGTCCGAGTTTAGTTTTAGTTTTCTGTAACATGACCTTGACCTTTTTAACTTTTCTGAAAGACGTTGTCTCTGCTTTGACCTCAAGCATTAACTTTGATAATACAGTAAGAAATAGGGTCACGGCAAGCATAAACGAAAAGGGCCCGAGATGGATGGGAAGTTTGGACTCAAGGTCAAAGTCAAGGTCACGGATGATTAAAGGTGACTAGTGGAGGTCACCACGAACTTTCACATTGACCACGCCCATTGACTTCCTTTCGGACACGGGCCCTTTGCGTTTGACCCTTTTCTGACCGAACAGTGTGCGACAGGACCAAAGTAAACGTCGATGGTTCAAGCCAAGGTGATAGCCTTCGAAAATGGTTACGAGGTCAAGGTCGTAAGTCAAGGTCAAATGTCCCAAAACTGACTTTGAAAAGTCCGAGTTTAGTTTTCTGTAAGATGACCTTGACCTACGACTTTGACCCAATTACCTTTTCTGGAGGACGTCGTCTCTGCTTTCACCTCGAACATTAACTTTGATAATACAGTTAGAAATAAGGCCACGGCAAGCATAAACGCAAAGGGCCCGAGATGGATGGGACGTTTGGACTCAAGGTCAGAGTCAAGGTTACGGATGGTTAACGGTGACTAGTGGAGGTCACCACGACCTTTCACATTGACCACGCCCATTGACTTCCTTTCGGACACGGACCCTCTGCGTTTGACCGTTTTCTGACCGAGCAGTGTGCGACAGGACCAAGTTAAACGTTCATGATTCAAGCCAATGTGATAGCCTTCGAAAATGGTTACGGGGTCAAGGTCGTAAGTCAAGGTCAAATGTCCCAAAAATGACTTTGAAAAGTTTGAGTTTAGTTTTCTGTAACATGACCTTGACCTACGACTTTGACCCAATGATCTTTTCTGAAGGACGTCATCTCTGCTTTCACCTCGAACATTAACTTTGATAATACAGTAAGAAATAAGGCCACGGCAAGCATAAACGCAAAGGCCCCGATATGGATGGGAAGTTTGGCCTCAAGGTCAAAATCAAGGTCACGGCAATATTTACACCTAAAGGCCAATCCATATAGAAAATGGTGGCTTCGCGCAAAAATTAAAGTATACGAAAATTATATTAATTTTTATGAACTGCAGTGTTAGGCAGCTAGTGCAGTGTGTCGGTTTCCGTCTAAGTGTCTTGTTATTCGAGTCGGTTTCCGTCTTAGTGTCTTGTTATTCAAGTCTAATTAGTAAACAAAGCAAATGGCGTCAAACGGATGAAGTTCTCTCTCGTTAGAAATTAAAAGGTCGGTAAAATAAAAAGTTATTTATCCATTTGGCTGAAATTTGATGTGTGGTCATTGCTAGCCCCCCTTAACATCCTCTGAAAATTTCAAGTTCCTACGACCACGGGAACTGGTAGAGGTACGAAAGTGCAATAGCGCCGAGCTGACCTTTTTGTTTTATTTTTGGTTTGTGATCGTAGCTTACTACTGGGTTTTAAACTTTGTGCTGATTTTGGTTTAACAAGAGATGAAGCTGTAGTTTTTCTAGTAGTAGCTGACACAGCATGTCTAGTCAGTGTTGTTGTACTGTAAAATGTATAAAAGATAAATTTAGAAAGTTTAACTTCCCATATATACTATTCAAAAAAAGTAGGGGATATTTGATTTTGGGGGTATAATACTAAAATATGCAAATGACTACGAAAAAAGTCACTATAGAACCTAACAGAAGAAACATTTCCAGTTACATGTGACGCCCAAACGCACCAATAGCTACCGCATGGAATGCAGGTGATGCTTGGGATCATCATGGGGGTCCAACCCAAGATTTGCACGACTCTGACTTTGAATGTTACAGTCATTGTGGCATTGAATTCCAGGGTGGAAACATCAGTTTAATTGTTTTAGTGACCAGAAAACAAATTTTGATATGCGTCGGCTTACCCAAAATGAAAGGTTACGTGCCCTTGGCATGCTACAGATCGGCACAACACAGGCGGTTGTGGCGCGGATGATGAATGTTTCTCAGTCTGTCATAAGCAGGCTATGGTCCAGATACCGTGATACACAATCTGTACAGGACATACCACGCTCAGGTCGACCAAGGGCGACAACTCAAGCCCAGGATCGATTTATCCGTACCTTGGCCTTGAGAAATCGTGTCATCACAGCAAATCAGATCAGCGCTCGTCTTCAAACAGACACTGGTGTGAGAGTGAGTGGCCAGACGATTCGGAATCGACTGCATAGGGGTCACCTTCGCGCCCGACGTCCTCGCGTGATCCCTTGTTTGAGAGATCATCACATTCAGGCAAGACGTCGTTGGTGTAGGGATCGTCAACACTGGGATAATCGACGCTGGAGCAATGTGATGTTTTCAGATGAGTCAAGGTTCACTGTTGATTTTTTGGACAGACGTAGGAGGGTGTGGCGTCGTCGAAACGAGCGCTTCCAAGACGTTAACGTCATCAGACATGATCGATTTGGGGGTGGTTCTGTTATGGTGTGGGGAGGCATCACTGTTGCTGGAAGAACGGCTTTACATGTTGTTGCAGGGCGTGTTACAGGCCAGTACTACCGGGACAACATCTTGGCAGTCCATGTTGTGCCGTTCGCACGACGTCATGGCCGCCGTTTCATCTTCCATGATGACAACGCAAGATGTCACAGGGCCAGGATCGTTACAGGTTACCTCCAACAACAGAACATCACCACATTACCTTGGCCAGCACTGAGTCCCGACCTCTCCCCCATCGAGCATGTCTGGGACATGCTTGGACAGAGGTTACGTCAACGTCAACAACGTCCTGCCAATGTCCAAGAACTTGCTGCTGCGTTGCAACAGGAATGGGACAATCTGGACCAAAATGACCTTAGACGTCTCATTAGGAGTATGCCACGTCGGATCAATGCTTGTTTGGCAAACAGAGGAGGATTTACCCGTTACTGACTTGGTTGTGATGCTGTGGTAACTTTGCTGTTTGACCCCGGGTATCATTTTACCCTTATAATGGTCAGTCTGTGCCTTACTTAGTCTAACGATCATTTGGAATAAATCGATGAATGTGAACTTCATTTCATTTTGTCATTTGTTTCTTCGTCAGTTTCATTAGGTGACTTTAATAACACTTAAAAATCAAATATCCCCTACTTTTTTTGAATAGTATATGATATTTTTTTGAGATACATACTGTCCATTAAAGATACATTATGGGAGATTAGATTGATAGCTGACAGTTCTCACTATAATAGTTAAAAACTAGATAATGTAAAGGGAATTTGCTGAACATTTTAGTCAATTGATCCACTCTGAACCAAAAATTTAGCGATTGAATTTTCGACCTAGCCTCAATCATCATTACTAAAGTCGGTACGATAAAGTCGGTACGATTATCCACTTCATGATTCAATCATGAATGAAAGTTGAGCAGCAAATCGTATCCTAATCCAGTAAATATCTATCGCAGACTAGCGATGACATCGAGAGTTGATTATGGTCTGGATAAGTTAATTAATGTCTTATTAATAATTTAGATAACATTTCAGGCCTAAAGAAAGACCTACAATAGGCAGATTTAGCTGTTGCATAATGTATGTTTAACTTCTGATTCTTAATAACAAGTACAAACTATTGTTCTAATGAATAATAAATAAGTGCTGTGCATGAGACAAGGTATGCATACTATTTTCAGAACAACTAATAACACTTCTCATTTTGGTAAATTCTGGTATTTAACATTTGTTTGTTGATCATTTTGATTACATTTGGTTTGATGAAGGATTCAGTATAGAGATATAAATTGTAATCTTAATAATCAGTAGACATACCTTTTACCGAGAGTAGGTTCACTAGAACTACTGTCATATACTGCTCCATCAGTACTGTTATTAGATAAAGTACGACTTCTACTATATATAACATCCTGTATTATTATACATAAATATAATATCAGTACTATTATTAGATAAAGTACGACTTCTACTATATATATCATCCTGAATTACTATTAATATACATAAATATAACATCATCAATCTTGTTCATAAAATATACAGGTGAAAAAATAACCACATGAAATGAAATGTGGTTTAACATTCTACTTTTCTGCACCAACTGGGCTAATGAAGAAGGCATACAATCATATGAAATCCAACCATCAAGGGTTCTTTTATGTGAAACACCAATGTGAACACTTGACCTCAGTTTTTCATTCCATCAGCCCTCCATCCCGCACTACTGACAAGGGAAACCACGCTGGGTAATCCAGGGGAACTTTCTCAGCCCAAGCCTGGTTATTGAGCCAGCGCCTTAACCACAGGATGTAATGAAATCAGTTTGTGACTGGTGTGATAAAGCCTAAGTTAAAGAGGGATTACCAGGGTTGGAGAAAGATAACACTTACATAATATGATCTATTGCAAGTTATAATGGTTTATATACCTGAGATGATTTATCTTTATCTCGAGGTGTTTGTAAAAATTTCTTGGCTTCTTCCAGTCTTTTTCTACTTTCTGTTCCTTTCACTATCAAAGATGAGTATTAATTATTGAAAAGTCATTTTATTGTAAAAAAAAAACCCCAACACATTGCAAAGGAATATTTTAAAGTATAAATTATGAATTAACATAAAGTCTGGAGGATACTCGATTGAATATTCCTAAATTGAATTCTTTCAAACCCCAATAATGTGTCATGGGAGCTAATTCAGAATGTGAATTTATCAGGAATCACAAAAAAACAGATAGATCTTCACAAGATATTTTTAAAAAATCTCATATCAATAAAGTTATATTTTCCAATTGGAACGACCATCTAGATCATTAAATTCTAAATCTTTCTATTAAAAGGTCTATAAAGCTTAAAATGAATAAATAATTAGTCCAAGGACCTTAATCTGACCATATATTATACAATCCATGGTAATGTGTACATTGCAGATTTGCTTGATGATAATATACACAAATATGCTCCATTCATATTGGGTTGAGCAACGTTGTTGGAACAAATTTGAATAAACATCATCCGGAAACATATCTATCAATATAAGGCGATACAAAAAAAAAAAAGAATTCTGGTTCTCAGAAAATGTTTTTAAAAAATCTGAAGCAGGAGGTTTTTATTTCATCAAAGGATCACTAATGGGCAATACATTTATCACATGATGCTGTTTTTAGAAATGTAGGTTTATCCAGTATCATCCATGATTGGCAGTTACATTTATCAGGGTTGCATAATTGATAAATTAACCTACAGTACATTTCAAATTTTGTTATAGCTTTGCTTGATGTAAATGGGGGAAATATTTCCATGAGGTTTTTGAAATAGACACAGGTCTTGCAGCTATCTTTAAGTGACGCATAATTGAGAACCAAAATATTTTTTTTAAATGGCCTAAGTTGTACTATCCAAATCTACTCCTTCAATATGGGCCTTGGGGTTAAATAACTTTACTTTAAAAATAAATATAAGACTACTGTACCTAAATTGAGTTCTTTATTAACTTGTATACTAGAGAATGAACTATCCACCATTCCTCTACGTAGCTCATCACTACTAGATGGATCACTGGTATCATCAGCTTCATATACTATAGCATCTTCATCACAATTATCTAATTCATCTTTTAACCATGCTGGTATCTGTTAATACACAACACAAAAATAATATCTTACTTACACATACACCTGGACATGTAACCAACATCAATATGTCATTTTACTGGTAGTATTTATAGGATGTTAAAGATGCATTATGTAAGATTTAGATTAACAGCTGGCAATAATAGTTTCACAAGCGGTTGTCATGACCTCTATCTAGAGGGCCCACAGTCTAAAAACATGATTTTCCTTACAATCAGAGGCCATAATCGGAGAAGTTATGGTCCGATAATCGCCAACATCTAATATAAAGGAACCAAGATCTTTGAGCTATAAACACACATTTTAAGTTCAATCAAAATCGGATAAAAATTGTGACCTCTAGAGTTTCCACAAACCAAAAAACGTGATTTTTTTCGAAAATCTGGGGCCCTAATCCATGACGTTACATGTATATTCCTATACATGCCAATATCCAAAGGAACAGAGATCTTTGGGATATAAACCTAGAAGTCAAGTTTTGTCAAAATCGGATAAAAATTGTTACCTGTAGACTGTCCAAAAACAAAATGTCAATGAACAAAATGTCTAATAAACAAAAGGGCTGGATTATGAAATATTATTAAATGAACTTGGGCTTCAACATCATATCTTTCTGAACCAACACATCTGGCTATTGAAGATAGGCATGTGTTATGCAAAATGAAATGCAGTTTAACATCCAACTTTTCTACACCATCTAGGCTGATGGGGAAATTTTACCCTGACAGCTGCACTACAGTTTCTCCTTGACAGATCCAGGCACCACAGACAAAGGGAACCCAGGCTTGAACTTGAATATCCTGAAAAACTTTCTCAGGTGTGGGATCTTTTCTTCACTTTAATTATTATAAGAGTAAATATAAACTTACTGATCCTTGTGAATCAATTTCTGATGCTTCTGATGAATATTCATCACCACCTTCTCTACTTGATGCTGATACTTCCCTAGTACCATCAGGGAATACTGTCATATTTAACCTTCTCCTGTTAAATATTAATATTATTAATCTATATTTATACTTTGAACTGAGAGATCTTTTGAATTAATTAAAAGGTCAGATAAAATCGCACTAGATACACATATTTAAAACCACAATAAATATATGGTCATAAAAAAAGTATTTGTTTGTCAGATACTGCTGATTCACTTAGAAAGGACTGCATGACCCACTTTAATTTTTTTTTAAAAATATAAACATTTTATTTTCTTTGATTACCGCTCATGTTTACTCATCAGAGGTGAGAAATGGAAGGAACATTATTAATATGTCATTATGTAAGTAAATTCCTATAAACAGATGAGATAAATGTGGACAGTTGATATGTAATATTTGTGAGAAGAAATTTAGCCCATTAATGATCCGTTGACAAAACAGAAACAAAAAAATAAGAAACATCGCTAACTTTTTAAAAATTGCTTGAAGGACTTTCTGAGAACCAGAATATGTTTTTTGTATAGCTTAAGATGAGATTACCTAATAAAAAATATGAAATTTCAAATCAGCAAAAATAGTGAACTATACCTCAAACTTCTCTTTTTCAATGTTTTACGTCTGGGTGGAGGTGCAGTTGTCTCCACTTGAATAAATAAATTTTCCCCATGACAGAAAAAATTACCCAACAACACCTTTTCATTTACTTGCTTTATACTGTAAAATAAAAAAGATGTGAAATAATCCCATCAATTCTGTTACATGAATAAGCCCAACAACAAACTCTGTGTGTGAACCTCAATAGAATTACATCAAAGTACAAAACAATACAAACAATGACAAAACTTATTCTAACCGTATCAGTTCTTTAGGTTCTAAGAGTATAACTGAATCGTCTTTAGTTGAATCTTTTTCTTTGTCTTTTTCTTTATCTTTAACATTTTCTCTACTACCAGCACTTAAAGATCTATGAGGAACACTACCTGTTAATACAGATTATCAAAATATAAGATGTGGCAATATATAAAGAAACAAAACAACTTTTGCAATTATTGTCTTCTTGATAGTCAAAGTTTCGAAAATAAACCAGAGCTAATTTACCTGATGAAACTTACTAAGACCTGTTTAAATTGATTAAAACCTGATGAAACTTACTAAAACCTGATTAAACTGAATAAATCCTGTTCAAACTGAATAAAACCTGATAAAAGTACTAAAATTTAATACAAACTTATAGGCTCTTAAACTCTTAGAAAACATGCAAAAGCATGTTAGCTAAATACTGAAGAAACTTGGGAATTTAAAACCTAAAGAAACTTACTGAGTGGTCTAAATCCTGATGAACTATCACCAGCTGAAGAAGGAGCACCACTATCAGCTTGTGATAAACTTTCACAACTAATCTGTCTTTTAGCTGTTTTACTTTCAGTATCTTCTGTTGTACCATCTAGCATTACACCACCTGAATTTAATTAATATAATGTTGTTTTATGATTTTCTTACATTTATTAAAATTTATCTTAGTTTTTAAAAATATCAAATATATGTGATAGTTAATCTCAACCCACATCAAGATTCTTGTCTTGGATCAACCCACCTAACAACACAACTACCCTGATCCTGCTAGATAACAACCATATAATAAAGGATAATACTAAAAGTGATAAAAATATAGTTTAGTGATCAAAATGGCATGACATGGAAGCAACCGGAGAGTATTGTCAGTCCTGAACGTAACGAATTGACAGAATTGTAATCGAGTGATGATGCATTCGTTGTAGCCCGAAATCCACCTTTTCACTTGATTGTCACTATTTTTGGGATTGAGAGAATTCAATTCTGGAACGTTCAATTGAGTATTGTCTTAGTATCTTCCAGTTTCAACAGTGCATGACTAATTAAAACTATTAAAAATCAAGACTTACTATCATGTGGAATATCACCACCAGTATTACTAGTAACACTAGCTGTAGATGATTGTCTATGATGACCTTTAGCGGTAGTTGGTCTGGGCGTTATATTCTCTATTTTAACATCATCTTTAGCTGTATGTGAATTATTAGATAGACTACCATTAGTGCTAGAACGACTAGTACTATCATCTAATGTACTAGGTACTGTATATCTTAATCCCCAGTAATATAATTCATGATCTTTAGTACTGGCTACAGTAAAATGTTCTCCACACAGCACTTTCTGAAAACATAAATCTTGTATTATATACTCTTCAAAAAAAGTAGGGGATATTGAAATGCCAATACCTATGCAGGCTGTGATATGATAAATAGTCATGGACACTTGACATGCTTTGAGAGTATGTTCACAGATGAAGAACTTATCGCCCCAACAGAACCACTTCAAGGAAGGGTTGATGAAAACTGCCGCATGCTGGTTTATCCTATCCATGTTTGCTTTCCTATCGGTTCTTGCATAAGATTTACTGTTAAGAGTATCTTTCCTTTAGTGTGTTACCTTTAATTTGATCAGGAGACGTGTTCATCAACGTCAACCGACAACACTGCAAGAATTGGCAGTGGCACTGCAAAAGGAGTGGGTCAGATTGCCCCAAATCGTGATTGGACGGTTGATTAGGAGCATGCCACGACTAATTGCTGAATGTCTGACGATTGGTGGAGCAATTACTCATTATTAAGACAAAAAACGTCCATTTTCACTTTTGACAGTGTATCTCTTTGCAAGTGAAATGGGGCCGTCAGATAAGCTGCCCATATGAACTGTTTATGTTCATGCGTAGGCATTCGGCCTGTTATTAACATACACTGGTTACCTCTAATAAAAACAGCAGTGCATTTCCGCAATTTTGTATTGTTTCTGAATATCCCCTTTTTTCTTTTTTAAGAGTATATAACAAAGTTTATTGGAATGAATGTATGAATGAATAAATGAAATGGGATTTAACTCCTACTTTTCTGTAACAACCAGGCTAATGAAAACCTGCATTAAGCCATACAGTGTGGTATGAGGGAAACTTTAACCAGACAACACTCAAGGATTCTCATATCTATATCTCACTTATATATAAACTAACTCAATGTACTCACATTAACAGATTTATCTGCCAGAGTTTTAACTTCAACTGGTGCATTAGGTGCTTTAGTATTTCCAGTACCTAGTTGACCTTCAGAGTTTCTACCAAACATATAAACATGACCTGATTCTACTATAACAGCTGTATGATGTGATCCCATTGATATATCTATAACACGATGTCTAGCTAACACACGTACTGCTGTTGGTATATTTCTACCTTCAACTTCAGTCTATAAAATAACAGACAATATTCATAAAGACACATTATGTAAGATTTAGATAAAGAGCGGACCATTCTTGCTATAACAGTTAATAAAGATTCAATTAAAAACGCATTATGTAAGATTTGGATAAAGACCTGGCCATTCTTGCTATAATAGTTTAAAAATAGATAATGAATAATGGATATATTGAAATTTCAGTCAAATTACTTTATTCTGAGCAAAGTCATCACTGTTTGAAGTTTTGACAAGAAATAGCCCCAATTGTCTTGATTGTCAAGTACCACTGCTACTATAAAAAAAAGTCTTGATTTTCAGTCCTTAAATCAGGGGTCTCCATAAATGACGTCCATATCAAATAATGAAGATATGGTGGGCATTGTCTAATCCAATCAATATCTAAGACCCCACATTGTCTAGAGAGTTAATTAGGTGTTTTTCATGTTAATAAATGTCTAAATAATAATTTATATAACATTTGAAGTCATAAAAAGACTGTAATACTTACACTGATTTAGTTCTTTTAGAATCTATTGAAATAGTTTTGTTAAATCAATCTCTGAATAAAGTAATTTGTCATAATTACCTTTGTAAATATATTTTTCATTGCCATAAGAAAACCCTGTCTGTTGTTCAGACCTAATTTATTATTTTCATTTCTTCCACAAGCAAAAACCCCTCCAACATCTGTCAGAAACATTGTCCCATCCACACCACAGCGGACATCTTGGAACATTACTGCATCTTCAATTGTTACCAGCATAGGTTGACAACTAATAGAGAAGGAGGGAAAAAAATCAAAATTAAAGATGCATTATGCAAGATTTAGATAAAGAGCTGACTGTTTTTGCTATAATACTTCAAAAATACATTGTAGATAATGAAAAATAATTCAAAATAGATAACGAAAGATCAGTTGCATGCAAGGCAACAAAACATACAGCCACAGCAGCAAAATTGTCTTAACAGTCACCAAGGGTTGCCTCATAATTATTCTTTAGTGGGTAATGGGGGGCATTTACAAGACACTGATATCAATTTCATAAATATCAGATTATAATTTTTGTCATTTAGTTCTAAAAAATGAAGCTAGGGCCTCAACTCTAGAAAAAAGTTACAGAAATTGTTGAGATTCGACAGATTTTTTAGATTAACTAATTTAAATATGCATATAAATTTCATACAGATAGGATGATAACTTTTTCCATTCGATCGTTCACATATAAAAGCCATAATTCTAGAAGAAATTGCTGAATTTCAATAGGTATTTTCGTTTTAATAAATAAAGACCTGCAAAAAGGTATCTATAGCTTTTACACAAGGCATCTTTAAGGATCAAGATATATCTTGTATGAGAGTCATGAATTGTACAGAGTGACTAGAGTCATGATTTGTAATACAATTTATTTCAAAATTTCATACAACTTACTAATTTTCTTCATCTCCAAGCCCTAGTTTCCCATCTAACCCTTGACCCCAAGTAAAAATTTGACCTCTACTGCCAACAGCAGCTACATGATGTGATCCACAAGACACGGCAGCAACATCAACCCTGCGATAAAATAAGTTACAATGTAAAAAAACAAATTAGATTAGACACATACAATTTTATTAAATCTCTATTCGAAATTAATATAAAGAATTAATATAAAGAAAACTATGTACATATATTATTTATATAGTTTCAATCAACAAAAACTACCCCCAGCTATTAGAGCTTTATCATCCAGAATGATAAGGTGCTTAGATCTGCTTGTAATATACAATGCTGAGAGAGACAGCAATATTCTAGGTTATATATATCAACTTTCAAGAAACTTTTAAAAACAGAATATTTTCATATTAACTATCAAAATTAAACTTATGTTATATTTTGTGTATAAAACGTTTGTGTATGTCTTTAATTTTGTTTTACGTATGGTTTAATGGTTGAGAGCAAGACATTAAGTAATATTTTAATACTGTACAAGGCGTTAGCCGATTGATGTTTCAATATATTACCCAATGTCTTTAGCTCGAGACCATTAAACAACTTAAAATACAGACACTATCTCGCACGTGCTTTTCAATGAAATACGTCATGCGAGTCCAATATTTCATCTAGTATAGATAATGTACAATTGGCAAGTTGCCCGTACATTATTGGAAATAATGGTATACCAACATCAAAGGATGACGTCACATCTGTATTTTACTTGTACTTATTGTTTATGTTACATTCTTTGTAAAGCGCCACAGACCACTCAAACTGACTGAATGATCAGCATTCTATAAAATGATTATTATTCGACGTTATTAATGTGTACAGATGGTATTAATTACCTAATGCTTTTGACAGCTGTGAAAGAATTTCAATCATAGGTGTCAAGTATTCAATATATTTCATTGTTATGGATCAGTATTGCATATTCTGTATATATCTTTCTACAATAAACATGTATCATTTGCTTGATAAAGGCGAGAGTATTCTTGTTGAAACTTGTATAGTAATTGTGTATCCATAAAATTGTACCTTGTGTTCACATAATAATATTAGTGGAGATGCAATTAAGACACATTATGTAAGATTTAGATAAAGAGCTGGTTGTGCCTGCTATAATAGTTCAAAAATAGATAATGAAATATGAATATAAAGAAAAATTTCAGTCTGAGCATAGTTATGATAACAAGTCTTGATTTTCCATTTTAACGAAGATGTGGCAGACATTGCCTATTCCACTCAATATCTCATCCATACGATGTTCTAGAGAGTTGCTAATGGGCTTGTCATGAGTATATAAATAAGCTACGAAAAAGACCTGCAATAGGCAGAATTAGCTCTTACATAATGCATCTTTCAAACTGCTAAAAATTCTTATTTTACAGCTTACTGATATAAATCATGGACAACATACCGTAATAAGCCTTCTATTAATCTTGGTTTATAAGAATCAGTCCAATCACCATGTCCTAAACATCCTGTAGATCCTTGACCACATGTTAATACTAGACCATTATCACTTATAAATATACTAAACCCATCTCCACAACATGCTCTGTAGTATAAATAATTATATCAGTTTTAACGTGTATCAAAAAGTAAAAATTACAAAATTATGAAAATGAAAAAATGAAATGGGGTTTAACATCCTACTGTTGTGCTCCGACAAGACTAATGAAGACGGGCATATGCCATACAGCGTACTATGAGGGAAATTTTGCATGGACAGCGACGCTACAGCCTACTCTTATATCGATTTCCAACTGCCAAGGGTTCTTTTACGTGCACGACAATGTGTACATAGGAACTTGGTTTTTCATCCCATCTAAACAACTATACATAGTCCCTTGCCAGGCCCTCTGTCCTCCACCACTGAAAAGGGGGGAACCATGCCGGAAAATTACGATAACTTTCTCAGCCAACACCGAGACTGAACGTGGGACCTTCAGATTAGTGAGGCAACGTCTTATTACTAAACCAACATGGCTCCCACAAAATTATCATTAAAAGAGATGGTCCACCTATTTCTGTTTTTCAATAAAACTAGAAGCTGCTGTTTAAACATCACTCTAAGGACAAACTAATTTATTTTCTAGTTCTTCAGGGTCTTGATCAATGAATAACCAACTCAATATTTGGAACTAAAAGCTTTTGAGAAGAGCAACTAAGTACTTTTTATTTTGAAATTACAGTACTCTTTTCTTGAAGAAATAGGAGGCAGAATTTTTAGCAGGTGTTCCCAAAGAACCGAAATTCAAATTGGTGTAGCCTTAACTAAAGATCACGCAGGTAGAAAATTCGCTAACATGGTAATTTGGCAACACAAAATAAACCAGTTTGACCAAGTACTAAAAGCATTCCCATTATTAAGCTAGGGAACATCATATAGCCCGTTCAGATGCTTAAGTTGAACTGGTTTAAAAACTCTGGGGATCGTTAAACCAGTTTAACTTAAGCGTCTGAACGCAAATGTGGGGCAAATAAACCAGTTTAAAAACCCCAGCTCACGACCTGTCTTCGAGAAGGCTTTTTATTTTAAACTTGTTCATCTTAGCCGTCTGAACGGGTTTGCTTAATAACCCCGGCTCCAGCTTGCTTCGAGCATGCGCAGTACGCAGTTAGATACATTTCTGTGGAAATATCGGGGTCAGACAGTGCCAATGTTATCAAAAGCGTGCGAGAACCGAATAAAGAATATGAAGCTACCCATGCTGTAGTTAACTCTAACCTCCGACCGAAGAGGTTAGAATAGTTAAACTGGTTTGGCTTATAGTACGTGTGAACGCAACAGGATGCTGTCTTAAAAACCCATGCGATTATGAACTGGTTTAAAAATAAGCTTCTGAACGGGCTAATACTTAAAGATAGTAGTATAGATGATGTCACTAATGTATTGAAAGTAGCTAAGTCTCTAACTCAATATCATCCAAAGTCTTCAACATTGAAAACACAAATTATTTGTCAATTTAAATCAACATTGACGTTGTGATCTTACCGGGAATAGAGTAGCTTCTGATATCCAATATTTAAGACAAAATAATCATTTTACTTTTAGCGCCATATGTAACAAGGGACTCGAACAACTAGACTAGACATATTCCACAAGTCATGTCAAACGGTGACGCCATATTTTTATCTGGAGAGCATGCACAATAAATACTATCGGTGTAGTCTGAAATAACCAGACGCTAGTGTTTGAATTAATATTTTTCTAAAATTTGATCTGACCAGCTGTCATCTTTTGTTTATCTATCTGAAGAGATCAATGAAAAGTCTTGCCAATAATTATTATTACATATGCAATTAAATAGCAGGATACTATACTTACGAAGAAATAGATTTTCCTTTAAGAGCATCAATCAGTTCGGGACGGCATTTACTTTCAGTATTACCATGACCAAGTTGACCCTTTGAACCTTCACCCCAACTGAGTACTTGACCTTCAGTAGTTACAACTATCACATGATCAGGTCCAACAGCCGCCTACAGATCAAACATAAAACTTATAGGCATAGTTATACATATTTCAAATTTTGATAATGATAAATTATATTAAAATAATGGAAAAGTACCCAAATTCCAATGTATATCTATAAACCAATAGTATAAAGAGTCATTAGCAATGTGGACATCTCTGTCATGTGATTTAAAAAAATAATTTTGATTTGACTAAATACTAAATAGTAATGTTGCATCAGGTATGTTCAATTAAGTGAAAAATCTTCCAATCCAACACTGACATATGCACGTCTTAACTCTCAACCTTTTATTGGTTTTCAAAGAGTTAATGAATGGAATGCCTGTGAAAAATATTTTATTCTAAGAAGTCCAGTGCTTGGACTTTTGATAGTAAAATGTAACTCTGGATATTTTCAATATGACATTATTCAATGTAGTTGGAGGTTTATGTCCCCAATATGATGACCACCATCAGCAAAGTCGTCTGTGCTCGTTCCAAAATCATTGACAACAAATCCTGCAGGGCAACTATGTGAACACTGTCTAAATCTTTAAAAGTAAATATGTAAAGAGAAAGTTTTAAAATATTTTGATTAGACCACTACTTATGCCCCAAAACAATTTTCATGGGAACTCTGTTCTGTAATGTATTCACAAAATTTCACAAACTAAAACGTACACGGTTGGAACTCCTTGGTTCGGACGACTCCACGATTTGCGATCAAAAGAATCTGAATTTCTCAATATTCCCAGTGAACTATATCCCACCAAGTGTCATCGACATTTTTATCCTGTATTTTGCTTACAAGCTTAAAATGTCAAAATGTGATGTGAAAGATAACTCAGCAAAATGCATTTGATCGTGTTCTTGCTTATATTCTAATGAATGATCCAACAAAGTTTTTACTACTGAACAATCCCACCAATTTTTTTTTTTTTTTTAAAAATTCAACTTTCTTCAGCTTTCAGAAGTTTGAAAATAAACATGTGAAGAACTTCAAGATATTTGCAAAGAACTCTTACTTATAGAGTGTTCACAAAAAATGGGGATGGACATTGGACCAAATTTTGCAAGGCAAATGACAAAGGTGGCGACAATATAAGTCAACAATATGTCCCTTGAAAAACAACCAAACTCACTTACATTTTTTATCTTGAGTCTTGCTGGTAAATCTGTTATACAAGTTAAAACACCAGTAGATGCCTCTAGATAATACATCACAGATCTATAAGATAGTTAATATTACTTGTACAAACACAGGAAAATCATGAATTTCATAAGATTTTTTTTTATCTAAATTAATGATGTGATCAGTAATTTTGTTAGCTGTAGCCTACTACAAGCAATGCAAGGATCATATGTTCCAGATTTAGCAATGCCAAATGAAATTTTCATATAAAGATCTCAGATCCCAGTGTATTCTTAACCAGCTATTGGAGACATATTCAAGCCACAATCGATCAAAATATGGTTCAAGAAATGACAGAATATTCATATAACATGTAGCAGTTTAAACAGAAATCAGTACTTGTGACTTCTGTATGATCACTTATATACCCAGGTAACAAAACCTAGAAATATCTATGTATTATCTAAATGTTCAATGCTATATATGTATTATCTAAATGTTCAATGCTATATATGTATTATCTTAATGTTCAATGCTATATATGTGGGTAAAAAAAATAAATACAATGCATTATTCTGGCATGACCATAGATGATTCATTTATAACATTATTTAAAGATGAATTATGTAAGATTTAAATAAAGCGTTGGTCGTTCTTGTTAACAATAGATAATGAAAAATTAATATATTGAAAATAGAAGTCCTATTACTTGAAGTTTTGACAAGAAATAACCGATTGTCAAGCTAATAAATATGGTCTCGATTGTCAGTCCTTTTATTGAGTGAAGTTCTTTTTAACGTTGACTGATATGGCATGCATGGTCTTATCCATTCAAAATCTCAGCCTTAGAGAGCTGATTATGGGTTTGTCATGTTAAAGATGGGTTCCCAGAAAAGTATTTATTGGGTGGTTATTTCCAACAAAAGTATGGCAATTTTGGTATATATGGAAAGTAGAGATATCCAATCTTACTAGAAAAATACTGGATTCCCTTAAAAACATTCATGGAGTGTATACAGGACAAAAATGTAAGGGTTCCCCTAATCAACAGCCCGACGATTAGGAACTTCTGCACGCGTTATGTCAAAGGTCACAAGCGAACATTGAGCGCTTGATGTACAAGTTGATAAACTTTATGAAGAGTTAGACGCACAATACTTTCTGAGATAAAAATGACGGAAAAAGACGCGGGTAGTGGATAATCTGAGAATTTAATTAGGATTCGATATTTGTAATAAATAGTAAGCGATTAAAGACAACATCGTCTTATGTATGCAATGAATTCTCCTCTGACTCCCAAGACGTGACGTAAACATGACCTGGTTTGATCAAATTTTAATAGCAGGGCATTCCTTCGCAATTACAATGTTTGAGAAGGATTTGAAGCATAATTATGACAAATTAATTAGTTTGAATATGTTTTTGGTCCATATATACCATTAAATCACCCAGTTTGTATGCGGGAACCCATCTTTAATATGTCTAAATAATAGTTTATATAATAGTAGCAGTCAGAAAAAAAAAAACCCCTGCAGAATTAACTCTTACATAATCCATCTTAAGTCTCAATATACCATAATCATACATGACTTGTTAAATATATTGTTAATATCTCTGCTTTATGTGTCTCAAGATTAATTTATTAGCCATATTTAGCAATTGAAATACCTAATAAACACTATAACATAATATGGAACACAATTACTATTTCAATTAAAGCGATGTTTCATTGATAACATTGAGAGAATCCTTAATGACATGTTGCTTGAATCAAAATAGTTATATTATGTTATTGTTAAGTAAATAATACAAGCTGTTGTTAGTGTTAGCCTGAATTAAATGTAGAACCACCATAGACATCAAGAAATCAGAAGTCATATTAAAATGGAAGACAATATTAGTTGGCAATGCACTGATTTTAGAAACATATGATATCTTTAAAGCTTCCGATCGTCACTTCAATTTTTCAGACAATATCTAATATGTCATGGTTTAATCCATGATAAATGTACTCAAACCTACTTTAATTAAGAAAACAAAACCAAATATCAATTATAGACAATCTCTGTGCTTGGACATTAAGCAACCATCAATTATAGGTGATGCTGGCTTGTTTATATTAATGATGGTCCAATAATCGGTCTTAACATTGGTAATTAGGCGATAAGTGGCCGATCGGTAGAAATATGTATACACTCGGCCATTTTGCCACTCATAGCAATCTGATTAAAACACAGATCCTATTTCGTTTCGTTTTTGATAGTTCAAAATTTTGTTTTGCTTGTCTTTACTACACTAGGATCTGGAAGAGTTGTTATATAACCCACATCCTAGTTGATGTGAGGGATTAGCCAATGAAACGGTCTGTTGCAGCGAGTGCATGGCGTGCATCACACAGAACTGTCGGATCCTACTAGAAACTGTGATTTGTCGCTGAACCAAACTGTTCTCCCGTGTGTCTGAACCGATTGATGGTGTCGACTATTCTAAAACAGAAGCTCCAACCGGACATCTGGCTCGTAATCCGGTTTCACATAGGTGTTTACTGACTGCCTGGTCTGAGCTCCTGCGTCATCCAGAAATTGCTGCTGCAGTGGAGATCGCTGTTGTGAACTGTTTCTGCAATTGATACAACCAGATGTGACAGCCAGGGCAGGTGAGGTCACTTTTGTTTGGCCTGTGGTTGGTCAGTCACTTGTTGAACATCGCTGTCAGTACCTACCCGAAAGGCGAGAGATGGTACTCTGGGGAAATATTCAGCAGTCTAGCTACAGCTGTCTGGGAGTCACCTGCTTGTAGCCGACCGATAGTGTTGTTGTGCTGGTCTTCGTTCAGATGTGGCATCACTTGGCTCGTTGAGTGTTTACATGTACAACTGATTTTGAAACCAAGGACCCCGGAATTTTAAAGGCCTTAGATTTGGGTTACATGCGAAAAGCTTGTGAAGTTGTTAAACTCATGTGTCTTGGTGCAATCAAGCGAAAACAAATTTCGACAAAAAGTATAAAGCTATCTATTTAAAACCTAACTCGTGTTGACAGGCGGGAAGCTATAGCATTTCGTATCATTACTGCATGAACCATTCTGACATCTGTTAGATGTAAATTTAGGGAATTATATCGTAATAAACATTTAATAATTGGTTATCGTCAACATTATTAATTAATCGTAATGCAAATAATTGTGTTCACAAAAGATGGTGTGTATTTTTGACTGCGTAGGAAGTGTGACCTAATTATTCCTTCAATACGTCGCGTTCGTGTTTAATTCCTGAGGTAAAATAGTACTAGGTGTTTCATGACTAAGAATGACATGTATCTACATCGATGAGGCATTTTAATGTGTAATAGTTTTGTATCCACCACTATCGCTAATTGTATCTGTATCGGCCAATATTTTGCGGTCAATATCTGATATTGGTAAAACCGATAGAACTAGTAGCCATATGGGACCATCACTAGTTTATATAATCTGCAGAGGAGGCTGAAATGTTCAATAATCAAATCTTTGTAAATACTGAATGGAATAGAACCAATTTTGGATTTATATCCCTTTTAGAGATTTAACTTGCACAATATTGTATAGTGCAAGGGCAAATGACGATCAGTAGCTTTAGTCATAATAACAATGTCTTTATAAACTAGCGCTCTTACTGCACTCTTTTTTTATTCAATCATTTTTTTTAAAAAATAACAACAAATGCTAAATATCTGGGAGGTTTGCTTAAAATACCAGGCTACTCTGTATTCTATCAATGGAAAACATTTATAACTTTTAATGGCTACTACTAGTGTCAACTGAACTAAGTGAGGATATTCAGAAACAAGGGTTCTTTATCATTCACAAAAACTTAATTCTTTAAATGGTTTTATTACCGGTAAGTTTAAGTTTGAAGTTGTATATACCATATTATGATTTTTTTAAGTGTTTGCCTACACGTGTTAATTAGTAATAATTATGCTTTTCAGAAGACCAGGTAAGTATGATATATAAATGGATAGATATTCTTGGAACAAATTAGGACTCGTACTACTTGCAAAAAAATTAATCCCATTAATTTAATTTAAAAGCAAGTTTTTTTCTATGAACTTTGCATATTTGAAAAATCAAGCATATTATTAGCCCATCTGGCATAAGTCATACTATTGTATAGTCTGTAGCAAAAAAGAAAGAAGATTTTTCTTGCATGCTACTACGATGGAGAGGATTCCAAGATTAAGAAGTGCCAGAAGTGATGGACAAGTGTGTTATTAAATCAACCAAACCATCCAATATTATGTGTACACATATTAAACAATTCCTTTAATCATAACTGTTACCTTTTCTCCATCTTCCTCGGACTAATGTTAGTAAAAAATTATAAAAAGATGTAAATATTTTACAGAGAAAGAAAGTTGGTAGATATAAATTTGTGTATGTCCTACATCTACTAAACTACATAATTATTCAATGAATGAATTGTGTGGTATATCATTAATAAAAGAACAGCAGAATGATGATACTATTTACAATGTTTCAAATCAATACGATATCAAGGATAACAAATAAATTTTCATGTAAAATTGCATGTTTTTAATACTTTTTTCAGCTCATTGTTCAGCTAGACTTATAGATTTCATATAATCACCTTATTTTAATTTTTTTGCTGATATTTTCTGTCGAAGCAGTCAGTTCTTCTTCCGGGTCGGATGCTGGGTCATCAAATTTGGCCAATAACTAGAGAATGAATAAATAAGTTTCTCTCAATTAATGTTGCAATTATACACAACCTTATAAAATCAATTATTATTACCACTTAAAATTATCACTTCAAGACTTTTAAAATCACCTGTTTCTTAACTAAGGGACTTAATTATATTCAAAGATGAAATATAATGGATTTTACCGGAGGATGTCTTTGGTACAAGATTTCTGTAGCATCTGGTCGTTTTTCAGGTTCATTCTGTAACATATCTAAAATTAATCCTCTGAATTCAGCACTGTACCTTTCTTTAACAGGTGCGAATTGACCCTGAAGGAAAAGAGAAACGTTTATGTAATAGATGATGAGTACCAAAATGATCTTCCATAGTTTGGATCTAATCCATCAAGCACTTTAGTAAGAAAACACAGATTTCCAAATCAAGGTGCAACTTGTTTGAATAAATTTGTATAAGCACCAGCCAGGAAATCTATCCGGACTGATATTTCTAATAGACATTCAACTTTCACAATATTACAGCTTGCAATAGATTTTAAAACAATCATTCAAATGATGTTCAAGGACTTTAACTTCAAAGGGCCAATCCCGATAATTTTTTGGAGAATAAAACTGCTTTATTTTGTGTTAAAATCCCTTAAAATCCTCTACCTAAGGGCCGAGCAACTAACTCAATATTTGCGATAGGTTTTCAAACAACTTAAACCCGTCAGTCTTCATTTGGAAATGGAGAACGATGTCCCAAGCTGTATTATGCTGTATCTGGATAAAACCAGACTTTTATTTTATAAAACTAATACGTAAGTGAAATTTACCTTTCGTTATCATTATGGGTCATTTAATGTATACACCTCTAAAGGAACAGGAATCGATTATCAGGTAACCCAACGAAAAGATTGACCCGAAATCATTAAAAGGGTTATATGTCCGGATAAGCATGTTTGACGTTCACATAGAAACGACTCAATATTTTGAGCTGAACATTTGAGACAAGGTAAATACACCATTCCTCTATATTTTGGCGCTTAAATTTCATACGTACTCGGACTTTTAATTTTGAGACTCTGTTCTAATCGGGATAGTCCCTTTAAGGTAAATATTCCATTCACATTCTAAAGTACATTTCTAAAAATGTTATCATTAAAATACCTACCTTCATGATTTTATTAACTAAAGCAGGTAGATTTGTACCTTCAAAGGTTTTCTGTAAACAAGCCATTTCATATAAAATACAACCCAATGCCCAAATATCTGATTTATAACTGTATGGTTTACCTTCACACTGAAATAAAAATAAAATAATAAAAACAGTGAATAGTCTTAATACTACCTTCTACATTTGCATTTTGGGGTGACAAAGAATGCAATTCTGAGGAAAAGTATAGAAGAAAGTCAGAGTGTAATTGATTCCATTCAAAATGATCTGCAATATGGCCTTAATCTTTGCTTTCCCTTATGATGATGTCCAATTTACTTCATTTAACCCTAGTAGTATATCTATTCATCTTTTATAACTTGTGTAGTTTTTAAAGTGTAGTGTTCTCACATTCCAAGCTCCGTGAGGCGTTATTCAAGAAAAGAAGGTGTATCCGTGAATTTCAATTTACTGCATTGACTATTGCCCAGGTTGTTTCCTGATCTGTCCAACCAAAAAAACCTTCTTGTGTTTCAGCAGCAATAAGTTCTATTAATTAATTAAGTTGTTTCACTAATGTTCTGATTGTACATAGTCAGGGCCGGCGGGAGCAATTCTTCATTGAGGCGGGCTAACATCCTAGGACTTTAGGAGAGGGTCCAGGGGACGTCTAGTTAACTAATCGTGTCCCTCGCAACTGGGGGTCTCTCAACTCAGGTATCAGTATAGAGCATGATAGGGTTTTCTCCTGAAAGTCTACCTTCTAAAAGTCTCACTTCTATGTTAAAATTAGACTTCGTTGTATCTAACGGCATAATTACTTGCATGCAATAACCCGGAGAAAAAAGGACTTGCGGCCAAATTACTGGGGGGCGGACTCTGCCGGGCCTGATAGTATATATTTGGTTCCTTCTGTCTGTATCAATATTGTGCTTGAAAATCACAAGAGAATCATTATAGAAACGTAGCTTTGGTAGAGTTGCACAGTTCGCCACTGTTGTCAGTTAACTGGTTTCAATCTCCTGTGACAGGAAGTACGATTGACAGCATTTATACAAACAAATAATACGTACCATTTCAGGGCTGATGTAATAAGGTGTACCTAGAACCGTATGAGCTCCCTGAACGGAAGTCACAATCTTAGATATACCAAAATCACCCACTTTAATAACTCCTTCTTTAGTCAGAAATATATTGTCTGTTTTTAAATCTCTGAAATATATAGTCAAATACTAATAGAAGTTTGCAGAATACAAATATGAAAAGTCTTTAAAAAATTCAACAAAATAAAATGCCCACTCAACACAAACTAGCTCATTTTGGGACTAACACATGGTTCAATTCTACTTCAACAATTCACAAATGCGAGAAGGTGTTTATACCAATGAGAGAAAACCAGAGGACCCGGAAAAAGCCCTTGATGTTGGATAGGTGACCCTTCTCTTTGTCATGTACAAGTGTGGAATCTAAACCACATCAATCACATACCTTATGGTATAAAGTGCACACTTCAAACCATTCTGCCACAAAACATCCTCATGAAACAGAACTTATCTAACTGTGATATTGTTGATGACAAAAGATGTGTAAAATATTTTTACAAATAAAGTTAAATTTGTACCTATGTAATATTTTATGTTCGTGTATATATCTAATAGCTGCTACTATTTGTTGAAACATGACTAATATAACTTTCTCTTCTAAATATGTCTGTTCTTGTTGATATAAAAACTGTTTTAATGTTCTGAAACATAAAATTAAATATTGGCAAAATAAAATTGTATTAAAGCAGGTGATTTGATTCCCTTACAAACTACAATACTGTGAAAGTTGAATTTCTGAAAGGAATATCAGTCACAAAAAAGTTCAATTCCATTTAGTATTTACAAACTTTTGAAAATACTGAAGGAATTGAACCATGCAATGAAAAGATAAATTAAAATTCCACTTCAGATGATAAAAACAAACCAGCACCACCTATAGGTGTTAGAAACCAGTGGTTGTCAGGCAAGATACGCCCATATTTTGCAAGAGATGAATAGAGAACAAGCTAAAAAAAAAAATGTGATTTTTTTAGTACAATCAGGACAATACTCCTAGAAGTCACGGTCCGATAAGCACAAATATCGAAAGGAAGATATTTTGGATCTTTTGGATATAAACATATATTTTAAGATTTATCAAGATCTGATAAAAACTGTGACTTCTAGAGGGTCCACAACCTTGGTATTACATACTTCTACACTTTTTGCATTTAGCGAGCGGCCATTTTGTTGGGCAGTTTTGGTCCTATTTTCCTGAAATATAAACTCAACCACAATTAGGGTTTTTTTTAAATCAGATAAAAATTATGACCTCTAGAGATTCCACAAGCTAAAAAATGTGATTTTTCATACAACCAGAGACCATAATTCAGGTATTTATGGTCCGATATGCTTGAATATCGGAAGGAACCAAGATATTTACGATATATACATACATTTCAAGTTTCATCAAAATTGGTTCAAAATTGTGACTACTAGAGGGTCTACAATTGTGATATTAAATACTTTTACCCTATTTGTGTACAAGGAGCGGCCATTTTGTATGGCAGTTTCAATCAGATTTTTAAGAAATTCATAGGGGTGAAACAGTTTAAATCGGATAAAAAGTTGAGGTCCGATATGTGCGAATATCGATAGGAACCACACATTTCAAGTTTCATCAAAATTGGATGAAAATTGGGACCTCTGCTCTAGAGTGTCCACAAGCTAAAAACATGATTTTGGATACAATCAGGGGCCATAATCCATGAAATTACAATCAGATACATGCCAATTTCGTTATCGTTCGGAGATCGACCTATATTTCAAGTTTCGTCAAAATCGGATAAAAATTGTGATCTGTAGAGTGTCCACAAACAAATTGTGAACTGACAGACAGACAGACGTCCTAACGGACAGGGGCGACGACAATATACGTCCACATGAAAATATGGGCCAATATATACACATTTGCAAAATTGCATTTATTGGTGCTGCAAGATAATTAACGTCAAAAATCTTACCCGCCATCAGCATACTCCATTTCAATCATGAGAACTCCATCTTCCTCAAAACTATCAAAATAACTGATAATATTAGGATGATCTAACATGGCTAAAACATTTACCTGGAAAATAGAGAAATAATGACACTGTCTGTGATAACAATACAATTAAAGATACATTATGTAAAAGATAAAGCTGTCTATTACTTGTCTTTTCCTGGCTTCAATTCTTATATAAATTATTTTTTAAACATTTATTCACATGAGAAATCCCTAACCAACTCTCTAGATCATCGGATAGCTTACATATTAAATGGATTAGAAAAGGACTCACAATTGAGACCTTGTTTATTATCGTAGCAATGGTACTTGACAGTTGAGACTTTCCTGTCTCATAATTTTGCCCAGAATCATTTTTAATTTGACTGAAATTTTCAGTATATTTATTTTTCGTTATCTATTTTTGAACTATTATAGCAAGCACAGCCAGTTATTTATCTAAATTTTTTTAAAATAAAGATCAATCAAATGAAACTTAAACTCATTTTTTCCCCATTTTAACTCTTTTTATCTTATAGTGGATCTGACAACATTTCTTAATGCAGGTGAAAACATTACCAGTGCATAGAAGGGAAAACGATAAGGAGCCTGACAATCTAAGAATTCAATGTGGATTGTGTGACTAAACTGGAGTATTATAATAAACTGATATGTCTTATGCATGGACAACCAATCTTTTCATACAAGATGGAAGTGTTCTTTAACTTTAATTACATATTTAAGGCCCATATGCTTAAAGGAATACCAGATAATGCTTGATATTACTTTACATTGAAAAACAGTCTAATAGTAACTCTAGTACAGCTTTTATACATGTACATATCACTTACTTCATTTAAAGCCAATTGTCTTTCAGCAGCTGTTAAATCATGCATGTTGATTTCTTTCAGAATAACAACAGAATCATCATCTTTTTTCTTATATAATACAGCAGTACCATAAGCTCCTAAAAAAAATTAACATGCATTGAGTCATAATGAAACAAATCATCAATTAAAATAAGATACCATTTTTAAAACATTTTATTTGTTATTATCAATACAAATGATAAGATAATATTTACTCCTAGTTTGATTAAGTTGTTTTAGGGTTTAACGTCCGCTTCCACCAAGGGTGATGTTGCATGCAGGTGGTATTATTTTAATATATTTAGCGCATGCGTATAGGCCTTTCCTAGTATGAGACGAAAAAGGCCACAAAGTCAAGAAGGCACCCCGATATTCAAGGCACATACGCTTACAACAGCGTATCTCGTATTTCATTTAGAAAATCAGTACTTATATTTACCTTTACCAACTGTTCGGATTTTTTCAAATCCTGCCAGAGATTGTTGATGTCTTCCACTCCAAAATCGTAACTTCTCTAATCGAAAATACAATTCTCCAGGTACACTGAAATAGTAAATACCAATACATGTTAATAAATATTACAGTATATTAATCTTGGATCAATGTATAAACATATATACATGTATCAATTCAACTTATACATGTTAAATACAGTATATATTTATCTCAGAATGATTATCAAAATTCATAAAATACCTGGCATTTTTTCCATCTTCCTTTCCATCAAATCCTACAAAATCTTTAGCAAAACCGAAGGCAACCTGAAATAGATCATTAATGAACATACACTTCCATCATTTCCTTTGGTACTCCTCCATACTTATATCAAAACTTATACAACACAGCCGTAAGGGTCTATCAAAAAAGGGGAGTTGGGTGACCCAATGGTTAACATGTGCGAGTTGCATCATAAGGTTAGTCATTGAGTCAAGTGGCTTGGTTTCGATTCCCCGCTTGTACATGACAAGGAGTAGGGTCGTCTGTCCGATCCCATGGGTTTTCTCTAGTTCCTCTGGTTTCCTCCCACTGCTACAGACCCCTAGACGCAAGTAATTAATTGAAATAAAAAAATTGATCCATATGTTAGTCCCGAAATGACCTAGTTTATATCAAAAAATGTTGAATATAAAAAACATTATGTTATTTTATTATCGAATTAGTTTAATGAAATCGGCCTCCAATAATTTTTTTTTTAAATGAAAACATTGTGATCTAATGTCAAGTACAGCTAAATTGATACCTACCGGTACATTCCCAGGAAATATGTGACCAAAAATTCAAGTTGTCTATAAATTTTTAAAAACATTTTGATTTGATTCAATTGACATTCCACTTTTGCTGACCAGCTGATTGTACTGATATTCCAATAACATGAGAAACATGTCTCTCACTCTTAGGGAAACATGGTTTTGGGGTCCAGTATTCTTAAAATATCATCCGAACTTTGTGGCACTTACCCCTGTCAGCGTCTCTAAATCCTGTGATAATGTTTTTATATCAAGTTGTTGATAAGCTGAACACGCTAGAAAATCTACTCTTGTACCATGTTGGGTTTTATCAATACATCTCTCAATCAGAGCACTAAAAAATTCTCTAATATGCTGGTCACTCACTGAATCTTTTGATAATACCTAGAATGCATAGAAGATAGAAATCATATAACAAATATTATGTAAGATTTTGTTTTTACTTGATCAAAAATAATAATCAGTAAATAGTATATAAAGTTGAAATAATAGAGTGTTTAATAGCTGTAACTAACATAAATGATAAAACATGTCATACCAGTAGCCTATATAATTTCTCTTTGCTTTTTAAAATATCTTCTTGGTGTATTTGCCTTTCTTTTGGACAAGTTTTGTAAGACACTGGATGAATCAAGCTACCAAACTTGATCAAACACAATTACAGTTAATTTCCGTTAGGTCTTTTAATAATGAAATATCTCATATGAATTGAAAGTTTGGTATCTCAGCTGTTAATTTATAATTTCATCAATTTCACATCAATTAAACGTCAACATAAAATGATGCCGTCTTTAGAAATAGAAGTTAATATTCTAATCTGTAGTAAACATTTGGTCAAGTTTAATTGGCAAGTGGAATTATCTGAATTATCATTCTGTTAACAACCACAATTTTAATTATCTGGTTTGTTTGGGATTTTGAAAAAAAAAAATACTGCACCCTTTCTTCCTTTGCACATAACTGTATTGCTGTACTATTGCAGGAAAATACAAGAGCCATACTAGTCACTTTCTTATTTCCTAAACACTGGCTTACAAAATCTGAAATGACAAAAGTATCCAACCAGATAATAATATCTTGAAAGTAAATAAGGAAATTTTCACTTTAATGTCAAAGAACAATCTTATAATTGATCTTAATTGACAAAAAATCAACACAGCTGCTTCTCATAGGGGATGCAAACAAACCCAGTGTCTTGCTTTTACTCGGGCAATGGTTTCCTACTTGGGAAACTTACAAAAGGTTATTCTCTTGAAATTTGAATCTCTGTTCATGATGGTTACATCTGATTCTGGAGGAATATGGATTTTTAAAACAGAAGTTATGCAATGATTGTTTAGTTTTAACTTAACTTTACATTGTCTTTTTTAACAAATATTTTAATATTCATAGTTATCCCACATTCATGTTGATAAATTTATTACAATGATTAATTTGTGTTTCATTATTTCAGTAATATAGAAAGAAACACAAAATTTTGTTAATATGATAATTGTGTATTACAATTGATACAATTCATTCTTCTTTGAAAGCTTCAACACAATTTGAATTTTGTGGTAATATAATATAAACCTAACTATATTCCTATCATAACACAGATTTCTACATTTTGTTTTAACATCATTTGTGTATACTTTGGGTCAGAAAGTGGTACCATCTGCTGGCTTTAAAGGTGTCTATGAAGACTTGATTGTAAGTTACCAAAGTTTTAAAAAAAAAACTTTGTCCATTATAAATGTTGGCCAAAGTTGATGGCAATGAAGACCACAGAAAGTGTGACTACTAAGTCTTGCCTTCAGTGACTTTCGTCGCCATAGTGACATATAAAATAAGCATTTGCCATGCAAGATACACCCACATTTTGCAAGAGATGGATAGAGAATGGATAGAGTACATTAATCCGGAATGCTACGGTCCGACATGCATCAATATCGAAAGGAACTGAGATCTTTAGGATATAAACATATATTTTTAATTTTTTTAAAATCGGATAAAAATTGTCACCCCTAGAGAGGGCCCAAAACATCCTTATTACAAACTTTTACACTATTTGCGTACAGGGAGCTGCCATTTTGTCGGCAGTTTCGGTCCGTTTTCGAGCTCAACCGTCATTACGGTATAACAGTGATATATTTGAACATTTTTTAAAATCAAACCTCTACAAGGTCCACAAACTGAAAACGTCGTTTTTTTGTAAAATCAGGGGCTATCATCCAGGAAGTTTTGGTTTGATATACCTTTGGGATACATAGAAAATTGAACAGGAACAGAGACGATTCTAACATTACCGTTCTGGTGGAAAAAGCAAGCTATACAAAGCCCTAACGGTGTTATGTAGCTATAACTTCATGGAATTAACTCTCAGGAGTTTTTAACATAATTTATAGTGTTTATTCATCATTAAGCAATAAAATATGGTAAATAACATGAAAACAAAAATCAAAACTGCAATATATATCGCGGTATTTTCGGTTTTTCTATACTTTTCTGAAAACAGTATTTTTGACGTTTTTTTTTATATCTGTGACAGTTTTTATTTCTGTGGCAGTTTTATATCAATAAAACGAAATATTGCCCAGCTCTTACCGATGGACAGCGGCGATGAAAATATACGTCCATATGAAAATGGGGCATATAAAAAGAATACCAACCCAATATATCTTCCAATGTATGGGCTTCATAATTATATTGCACGTGTATAACATTAGACAATAATGCATGTCTTATGACTGAACTATTCCGAACTTTACTGGAAATAATCAAAAGTCTTGGTGGTCCGTCTGTTTTGACTTTATCCTTTCCTCCATAAACATTACTAACATTGATGGCTTCATCATGATACACAATAAAGGTCTCATCATTGCTATTACATGAATCTTTCCTTCCATTGCCATTGTTACCTTCTTTACATTTGGTAAAAACATAAGTTCCTGATCCTGTATGTGTCTGAGATCTTTTGTGTTGTTTTTTGATCAACTGAGTCCCACCCCCACATCCATTGTTTAGTTCTTTACATTCTGATTGAATATTTAAAACGGACTGGTTTATATGATCTCCATCTTGCATTAAATCATCTTGAATTATGATCTCCCTGTTGTCCTTATCCTTCACGTGTTTTCTTCTATTCATTGCAGAATTACTTCATCTTTATTCTTTAAATGGAGCTTCATTTAATACTAAAATAACAGAACAAAATCAAATTACTGGTATGTAAATTTGGTTATACTACAAATGGCTGTAAGTATAATTCTTCTTGCAGAAAAATGAAATACAGTATGGCACATCTATTAATTAACATTATGACCCTTTTTGACATACATCGGCACAATATTAGACTAGGGCACACCTGTATCTTGATAAAAGATTGCCATCTATGGATAAAGGTCAGAAAACAGTAAAATATGATGATTTGATGTAGGCCTATATGTACACATTAAATCGACTTCTACCCATAAAATACTGTAGGTCTAAATGATGACATCAATGGGGGAAATGGGTTCCAATCGTACCAGTAGCTAAAAACAGACAGATCCTTGTATCGCAACATTTTTAATTCAAATTGGCACCATTCTCATCGCTTGCTCGAGATGACTGCAAAGCAATATAGACTACTAACACTGTACAACAGAGTTATATATATACCGAATAATCATTTGTGATAAACTGTAATTGAGTCTCCGTCAACTCAGTGTGAGTGTACATACAGTATGATACACGTAAAGACTAAACTAAAAAAACAAAAAATAAATAATTACTATAAATTAAACAATGATTGAATGAAAATATCGCAAGCTGACACAGTACTATACTTACAACACACAGTATCAACAGAACGTGGACCTTAGAGTCAGTACTGTAATAGATCAACTTAATTTTTCCTACATAATGTCTGCATCTGTAAGAAATCCCTCAAATACGAAAAATGTAGGAAGTTATTGAAATTAGTCGTCCATGTTGTTTATTTCATTCTAGATTATCCAGACCTCTTATTAAATGGTATAGTTAGTTTAGTGTCTGGATAAAGATGTCACAGCTTCCGGTATTGATGATTGAAGTAAAGACAACTCCTCAGGAATTTCACATAGATCTAGTTTTACCGATTATGAGCATCTTAGAAGAAATAGGTATTTATTAGAGATTTTTCTTTGTATCCCAAGATCATTATTTTATACAGATATGTCCCCTTTCTATTAAGGCATAATGGGCAAGTAACGGTAGGCCTGCTATAAATATTCTAGTGAGATTAAGACACCTTGTCTCACCTTATTAAAGTACCATAACTATGTCTTTTACTTTAACTCAATATATCCAAAGTCTTTGACATTGAAAACACTAATTATTTGTCAATTTAAATCAACATTGATGTTGTGATCTTAACGGGAAAAGATGGGCTTCTGATATCCAATATTTAAGACAAAATAAACATTTCACCATTGGTACACGAATCGTGTACCAGAATACGTTTCAGCGCCATTTATAACTAGGGGCTCGAAGAATGAGGCTAGACATATTCCACAAGTCATGTCAAACAGCCACGCCTTATTCTTATCTGGAGAGCATGCGCAATAAATACTACCAGTGTAGACTGGAATAACCAGACGCTAGGGATTGCCATTTGATTGAGACTTATTGTGTATTTCGCCGAACATAACTGATTTGAAATTAAGAGTAAAAAAGGAAACGATTGAATGTAAATCAGTTTATATACATTCATATTACATTATTATATGCGTTGCAACCCATTTGTGTCATTTTCTAGGTCCCACATAGCTCCTTTAACCATTCTGAGAAGCCTCTTTCACCACGGAATTGTACCAAACTGCTATGCTGCCTACTATATTTTGTTTCACAGGATGTGTGATATTTATTTGACTTTCAATTTCAAGATATGTCTACGGTTAAATTATTAAGAAATGACCCAACCTTGACAGCATCACAAGTTAAATCTCATAGAATGCGCCTAAACGTCCACTAGTCAAACCATGGTTATTTTAGCACTAATACATATGTTTATTTATTTCATTAACTCACACTCGGATGGCATCTTAGTCTTAGTTGTGGGTGAAAAAGACAGAACACCTGTATTTTTAGACAGAAGCACAATCCTAATGTATGACTGAACTCATGAGTATTCAAAACTGTTCATCATTCAGCCATCCAGTCCCCCTACTTACAATTTTATCTGGGTGGTAATCTTTAGGACCCTAAAAACTGTTTTGACAAGATTGCCTGCTCACTGTGAAACCTATATTTACAAATTGTTTGAATTGACTTGATACCCTTTTAACCAGTCACATGTAAACAACCATATATATGTGACAGTCAATGTCTACAATCAGGCAATGTGTACAATGCCCGAAATATACCAGTCAATGTGTACATTGCCGGGTTAGGGTAAGGGTTGGGGTGGGGGTTAGGGTTACAAAGACATTGTACACATTGCCTGATTGTAGACATTGACTGTAACATATACAGGTATCGTAATAAAAACAACAAACCATAAGATTAGATTTAAATGTGAAATGATTTTACACATGCTTTAATAAGAGAACAAATAGTTGGACAGTACTAATTATTGTTTGTATCATTCAAATAATTATACAGTATCAAATACCAAATTTCAGATAGGTAATGCTAGGAAATATTTCCAAATGTCACCATTAAAGTTTTGTAAAGTCAAGTTTTAGTGTCAGAATAATGGTAGTCTAAAATTGGAAAATTTCAAACAAGAATCATGGTAAAATGAAACCTACCAGATGGAACAGGCCATGTTCACAAGATCTCAATTTTTGACTGTTTATATTTTAGGATGTACATGTTAGTATGAATAATGTGACCCATGTCACTATTAATTTAATTAGTTAATACACAGCATAGTACAAGATTGCAGTTTTAAATATCAATAGAAAAATATAACATCAAATTATGGCCTATATGATAAAAATGAGATAATTTACAATGAGAATGAAACACTACTTATTTGTAATTTACTATATAAATAGATATATGATCAATAAATATTGAAGTGTATTAATAATTCTGTCTCTGTTTAATATGAACAAAAACAGTTTGACCAACATTATGCTTATTAAATGTAGTACTATCAAATCAAGAAGAGGTAACTAAATATATTACAATGATGTGATTTATGTGTACCCTGCTCTAATAATTTTCTTATATTTTTCAATATTTTAAAAACTTCCTCCAACACTATTAAAACTACATGTATACCCATTGAATAAGGAACTTTTCTTTAACAAGTTGGGAATATACTAATGTCTATGGTTCAATTTCCAACTGGATCTAAAAGTATCATTAGATCATTGTTTATAAAACAAGTTTTATCTCTCAAATTATAATTCATAGGCTCCACATGTAGAAAACCTAAATGTTTTAATCTTCTGACACAAGCAAGGCAATGGTGATTTTCAGTTAATTTTAAGAAAAGTTTCAAAGTTTGTTGGTCTGGTTCCCTATCTTGTTAAAGGTACAAGTAGTAAATACCATTTCCACCATGTTAATAAGAGTTGAATATAAAATAGACACTTAATACAAATACATGAAAAGGTAACAATATTATATTACAACAAAAAAACTTTTACCGGCTGTGAATATCTAATTCACTGCATATTTTGAAATATATTACTTTTATTTAATACAGTACACAAGAGTTGTTCTTACAAAACACCCTGGCTTGCCGATTATCAGTTTGCAAAAGGATCGACTTAGCTTTTTGGAGTTTTAAGTGAGCAGCTCCTGAAGAAAACTGTAATTGATATAACTTTTATATATTTATCACACTCAATTATCACAACAAACACAATAAACAATAGAACAACTCACAATGATACCAGATTCATTTAGATTTTTTACTGCATGACAAAGGCAATGTCATTTAACAACAAAGTTGCATAGAAGAGAGCCATGTGAGACAGAGCCCAGTGAAAAACACCTAAATGAATCCAATCAGAAAGTCGCACAATGTGTGCTGGTCCTGCAAAAGGGAAACAAATTCACAGAATTTTTAACCCACACATTTACATTAATCTTTAGACATAAATATATTAAAACAAACATCAATATTTCATACAAAAAATACTCATCTGTGAAAAGAGTACAAAAAACTGTCACCTAATCTGATAGAGTAATAATAGATGAAATAGTTTATCATTTCAAAAACATATACATCACCGAATCTGCTTCACATCACCTAAAGTGCTTTATATATACCAGAATTTGCCAATTCTTCAGCTTTTGTTATGTTTACAGCCGTGTACATTATGAACCAAGGTTCAAATGAATTTCACGTAAAACACCATTGCAATCAACCCCAGATAAGATTTTAATGTTAAAGTAATGTACATGTATTAGATAAGAATATTTAAGTAAAATATCTACAGGAAGAGGATCTTAAACATAATTCATGCTGTAATATATTTGAAGAATTTGACTTCTAATTTATCATGCAATCAAAACATCAGTAGAATAACACCAAACAAAATGACTATTTACACTACTATTATAACAACAACAAATCCTAAATATTTTCTCTCAACACGAAGAAACACAGTTGGGAGCTTGTTACATCCCCTATATTCCCACCAGCAGTAAAGTTATCCATGCTATATCTAAGATCATTGTCACCAAATCTCTCAAAGTTTGGAAAAATCTATTATGAAGTCTGTAGTAAGTTATCAAAATTAAAATGTAAACAGAAAAATAACTCTTCAAAATTCTGACAAGAACTAAGTGTGTAAATCTTTCACAAGGAAAGTGGGACAGATGACAATATACATCTACATTTGAGCCTTTAAAAACATATAAGTATTTAATGTTATTTTGAAATATATTTCTTAAATTCTTAAGTGCATAAATTGTCCTTCAAACAAAACTTGTTTACATGTATATTACTAGGTCAACACAAACAAAAGAACATATCTACATAATAAACAATATGACAATTTCATAAATTCAACAGATTTGTTTACAGATAAAATATAAATCTTACATAGTTACTTTTGGCAGGAGTTCACTTCTTCCACATTTGCTTGTGAAATCTTATTTTTAAAAAAAAACAACAACGAAAGTATGTGGCAAGATGATAATATAAATTCGTTTGTTTTGAATATTTGTTTATAAAAAATTGTATAAACATAGAAAAATACTAATGAAATTAAATACACATATATTTGAACCTGTCTAATGCATGTTTTTTTTTCTTTCAGTATTTCATAACATATCAAATCTCTCTCAACTCGATTAAAAAAAAATAATTGAAATATTTAATTTCAGAACAAGAAAAAAAAACGCTATGATATTTACAAGTAGAGGTCTAGGAGCAATGTAACTATTGCACATTAGATTTTTTAAATTATTTCAATCCCTTTCTGGAGTAATATATGCCATTAATAAGGCATCAATTATCTCTCTCAAAAATATTTCGTCAGTTCAATCTAAAATGTGTTGATGTTGTATTTGTAACAAAAACTGAGCATACATGTAGTATTTCACAGCCCCTAGCCCAGATAATTTAGTCACTGATCGTCATTTGCATTTTTCAGACAAAATCCAATATTTCATGCTTAATCCTCGATAAAATGTACTCAAATTTATTATTAAAAATTTAATTAAGAAAACTAAATCAAAATAGATAATCACCTGACTTAGATTCAATCATACTGGGATGACCATGTCCTATGTACCATCTGCCTTAGATGTCGAATGCTGACAAATTTTTTAATTCTTTGTAAATAATACTGAATGGAACTGAACCATTTTTGGACTATTGTAGTTTGTAAGGGATTCAACTTTCACAGTATTATGGGTGATTTAAAATCTCTCAAATGACGATCAGAGACTTTAAAAAAGATGATATTTTTGTACAAGCCCTATTTATAAATATACTGTTCAATCTCTTAATACAGTATTTAACAATAAATTATATTATCATTTAATGTAACGAATTACTCGCAATATCAATTTCCTTAACAGACACTTCATAATTTTCTTTAATATTGTTAGCAGAATCGATATTACTGAGCTGTTCGGAAGAACTGGTATCTTGATTGCCTTCATCTTTACTTGTCATTGCTTCAGCATCACTGATATCATCCTCATCATCGCTATTATCAGAATCCCCATCATCTGAGTAGACTTCAGCTCCAGAAAATACATAGAGATTGGGCTCCAAGTGCAAGAACTGGTTTTCTGAAGAAAAAAAAGATATTTCTGTTGTTTCGATAGTATGTATCAAATATATGTTCAATGTGTGTATTATTCTCAACAATTATATAGCCTCATCTCTGTATTCAAGAAAAATAATATAAAGTTTGGAATAAAACTTACTTTTTAATCTCTTGGCTAAACTACATCTAGGTGATCTCTGATAGAAAGCCCTCATCTTTTCTATAGACGCATCCAATTCATCATTCTTGACTGTTTCTACGTCAGCAGACTTCGGTTTATTATTATCTGTGGTGGTATCTATTTTACTGTCACTAGATAATTCATCATTTACAACTACACTATCTGATAACCGAGTAGGTGAACAGGCTATACTTGTACTATCAACAGTATCTGTGTCACAGTTGTTGTTATTTTGTTGTGTACTATTGCTTGTTGTTACTGTGCTTTGTACCGAAGATGTACAGTCAGATGAGTTACTATCATACATGGCTAGACATGTATCTGAACGTAGCTCACAAGAGTCTGAATAAGATGAGACAATACTATTTGAACAAGCACCTTTAATGCTTTCACTGAGTTCAGATTTATGTATTTGTTGTAAAGATTCATCATTACATAAGGTGTCCCAGCCTTCACCCAATCGATGGCATAACTCATTAACAATAACATCACAATCACCTAATAATTCTACATCAAAACCAATATGACGTAATCTTTCCCGATTAATTAAAATCTGAGGTACATGGGCTGGAAGAGAATCTGAAAAATAGAAATAAACAAATGAGTTTACTATTCTTCATTATAATTTTTACAGATTTCAAATACCTGTAGTCTACTTCCTAGAAAAAAGAAATTCATTATAAAAAATGCTATAGACAAATAATTATCAACTTACTTGGAATGAGAGCCACTGGACGAACTTTGAGAGAAGAACCTATAACAATTAGTAAGTCACATTCATCTTTATCTTCAGCCATTTGACGATGAAATTCTTCTGGTAAACTTTCGCCAAAAAATACAATATTTGGCTTCATGATGGCATAGGGTGTTTCAGGCGGACAGACAGGACATTTTGGTATAACCTGGTAATAAACCAATTTTATATTTTGCATCAGTATCAAAACACTTACTTATATTCGAATATTTGAACTATACTGTTAAACTGATAATGTTCACTTATGAATCAATGACTTTTACTAATGAAATTGAATGCTACAAGTTATCATTATTTTAAACTAATGTTCAGTATGTATATAGTAGTCACTGATTAAAGTAACGATGGTCATTTGTATATATTGCAAAAATATCAAATTTCTCATGACTTAATCCACGCTAATATATATGTACTCAGATTGATTATTTAACATTTAGTTAAGAAAACATAATCAAAATACCAACGCTAGATAACCTCCCAGTGATTATTACATAGCGATCAGCATAGACCGATGAAATTTCAATACCACATATCTTTGTAAATACAGACCGGCATTGAACCATTATTGGACCAATATTCCTATTAGAGATTCATCTTTCACAATAGTGTAATTGGCAAAGGATTTCTTTTGCTTAAAAAATGTCACATGAAGACTTTAAAAGGTGTGTAGCTGTAAACCATGTAACTTCTATTGTGAAAGTGTGTCCGATTCTAATACCCACCACATGTGTATACACAAACAGAACAAATAGTGGTGTAGATCATATAATAATCACAGCCTTAAAACCTACTTTTATCACCTACCAGGTGATTACTAAAAACTTTAAAAGGCTAGTAAACTTTATGCACATAAAATGACGACTTCAATCTGTTTGGGGGAGACATTTTAATTTATAAAATTTATTTGTTCATTTAAAGTGAATGGTTTCAACTTTAAAGTAGTTCAAGTTGATTATTTTGGATCTGTCCCAGTTAGTGCAAAATGACAATTAAAATAGAAAGATTTACATACTTGATTAAATATATCTTCTTTTATAACTTCAGCATCCACTTTATATTTACAAGCCATACATTGAGCAGTAGCAAAAGATCCTAAAATTAGAAACATGATTTATCACATCTTAATAAAAGATAGATTGCCAGGCAGCGAAAAATATAGCCCACAGCATCTATAAGCCCTTGAAACATACAACCACATTTCATTGTGGGCATATTAACATCAGATAATGTATTGTTTGAGAAGATAGGAATACCTTTGTTATTCTGTTACTTACAGGGTGATTGGGGTTTCTCTGGGTTCTCTAGTTTCCTCCTACTGCTATAGACCCCTATGCGCAAGCAAATTATTGAAATAAATTTGAACATGTTAGTCCTGATATAACCTAGTTTGTGTCAAATGGATGTTTAACCCCATTCCCAACTCTCTCTCTATTACTTACAATTATAAACTTAATGGCGATATATAGTGCCACTACATAAGTCTGTCATCTCTTCCCAAATAGTCTCCCCATCTGTGATCATCAAGGGTTAAATGATACAGATTGTTGACACACCCAATAAATGAAGAACTATATTTTGGGATATTTAAATGAACATACCGTGACATTGTATAACGTTTTTAATACCAGCAACCTGTTCAAGTGTGTCTATATTCTGTGTGTAATTCTGTAGAAGTTTACCATGGTCCTCTATTAACTTGATAAATTTATGGCATTTTGAGGGTTCAAACTGACCGGGGTAGATTTCCTTAAAAAAAAAACAGAACAAAAATAAAAGGTGTGTTGGAAATGTGCTTTATCAGAAAATATGTGATATTATATAATCCTAAATAGTCCAAAAGATTATGACTATATTATAATGTATTGATATTGCCTATTGATAACATTTCATTTCGTTCCTCTAATCACTAACCATTTATTGCTTAAAATCTTACCACTCCAGAGTGGCCAATTCGCTTCCCATGTTTCAAAGGGATTTATTGTTCACTAAAGTATTTGTTTCAAGCAGTAATATAAAAGCTAAATAAAATGTCATTTCCCAGTTTACTTAATAAGAGTTCTGTGACAATTGTTAAAACTTTACCTTGGCAAACTTAAAAAAAGGTCTTGGGTCACTTTGGAAAAAATGGATATCAAACATAGCCTGTGGATTTGGAAGATTAGGAAAGTCAACAGCTAAACGTGCATAAACACCATCTCTAGACCGAAAATCTGGTATACCACATGATACAGATACCTACACAAAAAATAAACAAAATTTATATGTCAACAAATATTCAGTTATGTTAAAAAATAAATAAGTGATTACCGATACATCACTCATTTAATAAAGTTATGTAAACACAAGTTGTTACTAAAATTAATTCAAAAACAATTATTATTTGAACTGGATAGAGATGTTGTGATCTAATAATAATATTCAGAATGAAGAAAAATGTAAAACTTACCCCAGCCCCTGTTAATACAACAATCTTTTTACATGTCTTCATCAGATGAACCACATCTTCTATTGTATTAATGTGATCCAGTTTCTTCCTTTTAGGAGGTTCCATTAACAGATTAATGATAATTCTCCACATTGCATAATTATCTAGATCTGGTGGTATAGCCATTCCTGAAGGTAACATTTCATTCAGAATTGTCCTTGGTTCAATTCCTAAAGTCATCTGTCTTTGCACCCATGAGATAGGACCTAAAATAGATAGGAAAATTATTGAATTAGTTCATGTATCCATAAATATATTACAGTAACATTACATGGTAACATGTGTTTTACATGAACTAAACATGTAGGTTCCAACCACTGATGGAACAAGAGACACAAAATTTACTATGAAAATCATTCTATCATCAGAATTATTAACGAGTTAACGAGTTAAAAATCAGTCCCTGCACTCCCTGGTTTTACAGGTTAAAGTTAAAGCATTGAGGCAATCCTTCTAACAGAAATTACGAGTGCAATGGTGCTCTAGCATAACTTATGCAAGCATATACACATGGCTATCTAGGAACTTGGGCCAAGTTGGGGATAGCATTGAAATTGGGAACTTGTCACCCAAAACCATAGAGCATTTGGATTTATAAGTATAAAAGTACAGTATAAATATAAAGGTTTCTGAGAGTATAAACCCATTTGATCCTTCAAAATTTATGGGAGGGCGCCTTTATATCAATCAATGATTTTACCTGAAATTGATTTCCATGCATTTTCACTTAAGCCTGATACTTCACTGATGGTACTCCAACTATCATTACTGTCATCTTCTTTCTCTTCCTCACCCGCCTCCTATAATTTACAAACAAGGGTTATTTAATTACATTCAGCCTTTTGATTTTCAATATATGTAGCTTAACTTTGGTTAGTCTGAACACGCATGTATGCTCTGACTACATGTTACAAGCTTACAAACATCAGCAGCCATACTTCAAGACATTATTTTTTCTTATCAAAATAACTCTTCACAAAAAATATACTAAAATTATTTTAAGGACACGTGATATATAAAAATAAATACTGGTAACAAATCCCCAAAAACATACTATACCTATTTGGAAAGAGCGATATACCGAAATTTAGTTAGTTAAGCTTATTGAAGAATTTGGAGATTGTTCGCTATCTAGGTGTCCTTTTAATGGACATTTGCCAGTTAAGTATAATACATGTAGATCTTGCATTGCACACATTCAATATTCTTACCTTTTTTTCATCGTTTGTCTTCTCAAATGATGTTTCTGTAACATAACAAATTACAAAGATCAAAATCCATTTGGCAAAATAATAATATTGATAAAATTAAAACGAACAGACACATAACTTTAACTTACTTCCTTATTCCTATTAATATTATTATTATTATTTAGTATTTGCAAGCCAATGACATAATACAACAATTACAAGTGAACTGATGAGTAGGACTCAGACTGTAGGCCTATGCTAATATTTGATGTTTGACTGGAATATTTTTTATTTAAATATTTCATTCACAAAATATAACAATATGCAATATTAAATTTAAGAGTTCTAAATGTCAAACATGACAGATACAAAACAAAAGGGTTACCTCCCCTATGGCTATTTATAGTTTTGGAAAATTTTTGCAATAAACTTCTCCGAAAAAGTAATTAAAGCTATGAAAACCCCGCTGGGGCAATGCTGTATATATTGTAATCGCAAACTGTCACTGCATTTCAATTGCCAACCCGTATTTGCAAAAGATTACTACAATTACCTCCATTCGGTTGTGCTGACGAGTATTGCGCAGCGCCATCCAATGACGAAGAGCCCAGCCCACCTGAATTTTCCGGGAAGTGAATAATTCCCATATTTTTAGATCCCTTTGACATCTTTTCAATACCATTCTTGGCTTCCTCACCGTTGCCGATTGATAGATTTGTACCTATATAATCGGAAGTATGGCGTTCGGAGCCGTCATTTTCATCCACTAATCTAGGTCTTTTAGCTGGAATTTCGGAAATAAATTCATTCTCGTTCGCCATGTTGCTTTCCATATTTGACTAAAGCGCATGCGTTAACATACATTCCTATGCTCGGAGTACTTATTGTAGATGGTGCCGTTATGATTTACAATAAAAGTTGAAACAGAAACAGAATATAGTTATATTTTCCAATCGGTCCTATTAAAAACACAGATTTACACAACATTTATTCTGTTTTAGTGATATTAATACAATGTAACGTCTCGTGATATTATGCCATATGAGTAGTTAATCTGTGTCAATGATTTCTCCCAGAATAAAGTAAATACAGTTCTGAAGGCGAACACATGTGTTCAACTGACAGCCATAAAATTACTCCAAAGCATGGATGATATTCTGAAGTATGAGAAAGATGACAGTGAAAATTTCTATTCCGTGTTGGGATGTGACGAATTATCAAGTGTAATTATTTGTGAATTGTTTCTAACTATTTTGAGTTTGAAATTAAATTCTGGTTTCTGTGCAAGAAGTAGTCAGATTTAGAATGAGATAGGGCATAATTTCAACAATATATATATTTCTTTTTTTATATATAAAAGCATGTTTGTTAAATGTGAAAGGTTCTCAATCTTTAAGCTAATATTAAAAAACAGCCTACAAATAAACGAATATGCGTAATAATGTATAATAATAGTATTTGAGATTTAATATTCGAACTAGGCATTCATCAGTTTCATGGAATTATACCTATGTCGAAAGCATCTGGTTAAAAGGTCAAATTCTCAAGTTTGGTTTTTTTCAGACTTGGGTGTTAAAGGAGCTAAATTGCTAATATTGGGACCTAGAAATTGACACAAATGGGTTGCAACGCATGTAATATGAATGTATATAAACTGATTTACATTCAATCGTTTCTGAGTATTTACTGTAATTTCTAATCAGTTTTGTTCGGCAATGCCAAAAGTCTCAATCACATAGCAATCTCTAGAGTCTTGTTATTCCAGTCTACAACGATAGTATTTATTGCGTATGCTCTCCCGAAGAATATGATGACATGACTTGTGAATAGTCTAGCCTCGTTCTTTGAGTCCCTTGTTACAAATGGCGCTGAAACGCATTATGATACACGTTTAATTTGTCTTAAATATTGGTACACGTTTATTTTGTCTTAAATATTGGATATCAGAAGCCCATCTTTTCCAAAATCACAACATCAGTTGACAAATAATTTGTGTTTTCAATGTCGAAGATTTTCAATGATATGTTAGAGACTTGGCTACTTTAAACTGTTCATGCACATGTATATTGATTTTTGATTGCATTGTGGTTGCACTGGGATCAGAACCTTAGGTGTCAATTATTTGCCTGTTATTGCTAATTTTAAGAGATTTTCTACCCAACTTGTTGACTTGTTACACTAGTATCTATCAATTCAAAATTCTTTATTGAAACCAAATGAAAACTCCAGTGTTATAGGTCTAGGGTTTCCAAATTTGTATGGTGTTGTTTGACAATTCATAAGAAAGAGGCCCTTCTAAAGAAGATTTTAATATTTTTCTGCAGACCAACTACTGCATGCGCATGTATTTTAATAAATTATACATAAAACTTAAAGATACTTTACTGCGTACAAACTGTGTGATTTGATGATATATCTAGACTAAAAACATATTCAAGCTAATTAATCTATCAAATATTTGCTTAAATCCTTCTCAAAACTTTGTGTTAGTGGGGAGATACCTCAAGCTATAAATTAACTGTTGTCTGTCACCTCATTTCATCGAGGGAGGGTCCAATTTTCAGAATATATTTTTCATTACTTACTACATCCATTTACCATACATATTGAGGCCTAAGTAAATTCTTAATTATTTTCTGTCAACTTTTTTTTCCCACCGTTTAATTGTAGAGTCTTTTATATGTTGACACCCCACAAAATTCCCAAAACCACCTAATTATATGATCAAGAAATAACTGCTCCATCAGTCAAGCTAGCACACAATAAGCTGGCAGACAACAATCGGGGTGCCAGTTAGTGATATCCTGACATTTTTGCCCATTGCCCCACAGGTGTTTATCAGGTAATCCAGAATTTTTCTAGTAAGATTGGGTGTCTATACTTTCCATATATATATACCGTATTTGCCATACTTTTATTGGAAATAAATACTTTCGGGACAATATATCTTTAACAGTTTTTAGGTTTTTTTCAAACCTACTGGGTTTTTTTATTCAAAATACAAATGTAAGAAATAGACTTACCACGTGGATGGGAATTACTTACTTCATGATTCATACAGTTACAATGTAGATAATGAATGTATTTTCCATTTTTATGTTAAGCCAGAAGGACAATAACCATTTTTCTTATTTATTGAGGATTAAAGAAATAAATAGTCTGTAGATTCCTTTTTACCTTGATGTTCATGTACAGAAATGAATTATTCAAATGTTCTCTATTAATCTAGGGGAAAAGAAGATGGTAGTATTGAAAGTAATGGAAACTTTGGCAATAACTTTTATTACAATTAATTGATTTGAATCAATTTGATTTTTTATTGGTTAAAACTACATATTATTATATATAATCTGAAAATCTTAATTTGGTGTACAGTCAGGAATGTATAACAGGCTTTTAAATATCTTTACTGTGCTTTTCAATAATTGTTTTTTGATATTTGATAGGAGGAACAGATAGTTGCTGAATATAAAGCAAGAGTCAATAGTTGTCATCCTGATAAAAACCCAGATGATCCTACTGCAGGTTTGTATTTTCAAAGCAATGTTAAAGGAGCTATACGCCACTATCTCAGTATCCAATACACAAGTCATTTACTCTATGGTTTCGGATGCCATTTGTAATGAACAAAGAAAAACATATCCTACAAGACAATGCAGAAGTAATTGTAATGGCTGATTCACAAACAAAAAAAATAATAATTAGATAAAGTGTAGAATAGATTAAGCAAGCGTAAACGACTGCCATCCTATTTGGAGTGTTCATGTATTTCACCCACCAAAATTGATTAGAAATTAGAATAAATGTTTTAAAAATTGAATATAAATCACTTTATTACATTAATATGTGCTTTTAGACCCATTTAAAGGGGCATTATTCAAGAGCTTAATCTGCCTATTGCAGGTCTTTCTTTATGCCTTAAATGTTATATAAATTATTAATTAGACATTTATTAACATCCCAAGACCATCATCAATTCTCGATGCAATCAGATTCTCAAGATTTACAACAGATTTAAAGACGAATTAATATCAATGATTTGATTTAAAAATGGATAATCGAAACTTTATTTATTATCTTAACAACGGTAGCAACGACAATCGAGACTGCCTAATTCTTATAATGGCGTTAAGAAACAAGTACTTTGACTAAAATTTTCAACATATTCCCTTTTCATTATCTATTTTATATATGCCCACATTTTCATGTGGACGTATATCGTCTTCAGTCACCAATATCCCTCACTTGAAAATATATGTTTGCCTTGATGTAGTATTTTATAGTAATAACAATTTATACAGGAAAATCTTTTATAGTAATTCAAAGATTATTTTCAGTCAGATTTTGTAGGGGTTTTATGAAACGCAATATAGCTATAGTATTTCCAATAATTACTTGCAAAATAATGCACCATGAGTTATGTTAATGGAGATGAGAAACAATATTGATTTCCACTGATTTTAGATTTATTTCTTTTTATCAATATTCTGGCAATTGAAAATCAGTCTACTTAAGAATCGCTATTCAACATCCTTGTATGTTTTGTTGCCTGGCAACCCGAGCTTGTAAGCCATGTTATTTTATCTACATGTATTACCGGTATTTATTTTATATAAATAATTTTAGAGAAATATTTGTTTATTGTAATGTCATGTTATATTGTTTTTTAAAGCTGAAAGATTTATTAGAATACAAAAGGCAAAAGAAGTGCTGACAGATCCTAGTCGAAGAAAAAAATATGATCGTTGGAGAAGGTCGGGTTTGTCTATTAGTTATTCTCAGTGGTGCAATATGGCCCCAGCACAGATGGTAATAATATTTATATAAAATCAATTTTTAATGCCGTAATAATTGTCATAGTTTGTAGATCCTTCATGTTATGAATACTAAAGAGTAATGTCCCAAATGTAATTCGATGTGTTTATTGTGCCCTAATGCCTAATACTATAAGCTGTTATATTTCATTTGATAAACTAATAATGTTGAAAGTGTAGCTTTTAAGATGTAAATTTTAGAGTTATCTCCCTTTAGTCGTCAAGCCTTTAGCCATATTGTGCATCTTTTCAGTCTATGCATTGGGCAAGCAGTAAAGCACAACCGATGATCAGCGACACAACCACCTCAAATATTGTTGCATCTAAAATACAGGATGACGCACCTAAAACCAGATCTATTCCAACTCATTTTACAAATGAAAGAGAAAATAATATGGGTGAGAAACAGACTAACAGTAAGACAGAAGGTTGGTCATATTAGAATATATGCTTAATATTAGAAATAAAAAAATAAATCATAGGCTCAGGGAGAATAATTTTGCACATTTTTATTATACATTTTACAAACTTTCACTGTTTACTTACAGTCTCTGTGCATCATTTGCACATTCAGAGTACATTTTAGTGTAGATTAAGCCGTGGGAATTTTATATTTTCCCCAAAATGTGAATGATGCATAGAGACTTTAATTAGAATATAAAAATAAAAACAGCACTTTATCTTTTCAGAAAATTGTAAGAGATCATCTATCAATCTCCACTGCTTTAAAGATACACCAGCAGACCTAATAAGAAAATTCAGAAATTATGAAATATAATGCCAGAGTTGTGATAATGAAAGAGGATAATTGAATCTTTAATACACATTAACTAGTCCTAGATCGTTTATATTAGCTTCTATACAATTTCAACTTGTATTATATAATACTTGTAATAGAATATGTTAGAAATTGTACTGTCAAATGGAATGTTTATAGTTTTAAGTTATCTAGTCTTGGTCTGTAACAAAATGAATTTTCCATGCTCTAAGTTTACTTCTACCTACTTAATTTGGATTTTCAGAAATAGTCTATTGTTTAAGGGTTATGAGTCTTGCAATATGCAGATTTATGTTAAAATAAGTATGTTAAGTTTAGTATGATTTTTAAAACGAAAATATTTTATAACATTCACTGAATTAGGATATTTAGTTTGGTTGTCCCTATTAGGAACATGATTCTACAGATGCATTTTATTATTAGTCTTTTAGAGAAACATATTATTATATGTATTTTATTATTATATTAATTGTTATGTTTGTTATTAATGATTTTGAAACTTTTATGTAATATAATTTTTGTTAATATGTATATATGATATGTTATGAGGAAATAAAACTTATTAAGTCACAAATTTGACTCTCACAAACACTAGAAGAACAAAAATGGTTAATTGCTCACAATGTTTCTCTTGAATAAAAACCAGGGGTATTATCAATAAGATAAAGATGTACTCCATTATTTGCTCTGGTACCTGTAAATAAATTTTGAACTGTAGGTTTTATCAGTCAAGTAGGGAGATACAACTCCATTAGCAGGAAGATTCGCACCTTAAAGGGTCTTTTAGACGGTCAATGATTTTTTGCTGAAGAGTCTGGGATAAAACTGGAGTTCTGTTTCAGAAAATCCTTAATATTTCCATCTACATTTTAAAGTAGTTCCAAACAATGTACTCGATTGCCCATGATTACCTACTGGGAGGTCTGGCGGATAAGTTTTATTTCTTTAGTTATTGACTTAAGCGGAATCAACAAAAAGTCACCTTTGCACTAAAATTAGGTGCCCTCTTTTGCTATTTAAGTGCGGGGTGACATTTTCACGAATTTTATTTGCATTTTGTGAGAGAGGGAGAGAGATAGATGGGATTTAAGGTCTACTCGACTAAAACTACGGTGGCTGGAGATGCTAAGTCGAGCGCTCAAGATACCTAGTCGAGCGCTTGAGAACATACAATTCGACACGTCTCGACCGATATTTTGTGCATTATTTAATGAAAAACTTGCAGAATAAAGATATTCATTTGTTCCTTTGTACAGCCCATCTTAAGCTGCAGTGACGGAGCGAATACCACCACCCCTACCTTCACCCCCAATTTCATCCCATGCTCATCAGCACCACTAAATATTTCCCATTATTTTTATTTTATATAACTGTATATATAGAGATTATAGAGTTTTGCTATGTAGGAACTGATCTTTACGCTGGCGCAAGTGGTGCGCTCGGGTCGGGCTTCTATAATTCACAACTGGATGATTGGAACTCGAAATCAGCCACCTAAGATAGGCTATATTAGACCACTTTGAAGTCTGGAATAGCAGGAAAACGTGTTTGTGGCATCAAATAATTTTCTTCTTCCTATTGGGTGGGGGGGGGGCTACACGGTACGCTCGCCCCTCTCAAACGACCGGCATCGCCGTCTGTAACAGGAAATCTATTCGGGGATTCCAGGTTCTGCATGCTGCACCAACATTCATCGAGCCCGTACGCCTATGCATCACGGGACCATTTTATGTATAAATTTATCTGATATAAAGGACACTAGTGAAATAACCTTCATAAAAGGCTTCTCTTATTACAAAATTTAAAAGTCACGCCATGATCCAAATGTTTAAAAACGAATTACACCAACCATATATTTATCGTAGATGCTATACAATACGTATACAATTTCACACGCCGTCTTTATATTATATATTATTATTATTATTAACATACTTATTCAACAAGGCAGTTACTCAAATATCTATTTTATTTTTACACGTGTGAACATAGGACTACGGGCTTGTTGACAGTAAGGGGGGGGAGGGGTGTGCATAACCCGGTCTTTTGCGAGAGCGGAGAAGCGGAGCTTACCGTGTAGGGACCCCAAGAAAACTTTCGAAAATTTGACGGCCGCAAACAAGTTTTCCTGCCATTTTAGCCCGTGAATACAGCAACTTAAAAGTGGTCTAATATGGCCTTATTAAGATGGTTGGCTCCAATCAATCAACCAATCAAATCTTTTACAGTCCACGAAGATAGGATCATCGGGAGAAAATTCTGAAGATTTAACTGCTATTCCAACCCGTGAATACAGCAACTCCCGGAGAAAATTTTGAAAATTTAACCACCGTAAATCCGTTTTTCTGCTATTTTATCCCGTGAATTAAGCACTTCCAAAGTTGTCCAATGGTTTTGTAACCGAAATCTCACTCTATGCTAACCTGAATTCCAACCATCCAATCACTGTTGCGGCTGCATTTACAAATAATAAACGGTGCCCGAAAAATGTCGCACAAAGTAGAGTGGCTCTATAGTCCATTCAATACAAATTTGTGGTGTTAAGTTTAAAAAAAAAAAGAAATTAAGTGTTTTATTACATTTCGGGCAATTTATTTTGCCAATTAGATGAAATAATAACATTAATATTTTTCACTTTACCCGTCTGCCTGAAAAGTCAGACTGCCCGAAAGATAGCGGGCAAAGATAAGTCTTAGAATGCTTTGTGAACTTGGTGACAGGTTCTCGGATACCAAGGGATACCCCTCAGCTACAAAAAAAAAATGTAAAACAACACGTATGCTTTGTACTTTATCATCAAATGGTGGGATTGTATGTGCATTCAAAGCGCGAGATAATGATATAGACATATTATGTGATATCACAATTAAGGCTTTGCATCAATGAAATTGAATCACAGTCTGATCCTATTAATTCATAATAAAAACTGACGCCAAAATTGGATTTCTCTCTTTAAAAAGTTCAATGGTTATGCAGTAATTTGGAGACGATGATGGGATCATGCATTGTTAACTGTCAAATTTCCTTAACAGACCCCTGTCAAACCCCCTCCTGCAAAAATTCCTGGATCTGCTCCTGGATACCATTTTTTTCACACACTTGATGAAACACATTCCATTGTCATAATGCCATTTAAGTAATAACGACAAACCATAATGCCTCGCAAAGTTTCATTGTCATAAAATTAATCATTCTTTTTGAGAAATCTATTGCGTCATAATGAAATTAGATCATACATTGCATCACGTCATGTTCATTGTCTTCCCATAGATACGAGAAGTATAATTTTGTGCTTCTGTTCAGATAGGCCCAAGGCAGTATTAATACTCCTAGGATAGGCCCTATATTCGTGTTTTGGTCCACAGGTATGTAGATAATATTGGAAATGTACTGACGATTGTCTATGTCGATCTAAACTCTAATAATTTTGAATTTCAGATTTTTCTTGTTATTCACAGTTTGAGAAAGTAAGCCGATCTGTAGAAATGGCTGAGAGATCGAATAAAACTCCGATGAGTAAGTCAGTAGCTTCATTTCATACCCCTATGTTCAATGGAAGATCTAAAAAAAAGAGGGGGGGGGGGTCTCAATCTCTTAATCGGTTCCCCTTATTGTACCGATTTGCAGATCCTTATTTATTAATGTTAGCATTCAACAGCTTGTTGATAGAAGAATAAGGTATTTTATGAACGAAAACGGCAATATTTTGTCAATAATTATGGACCGGACGATAATTGATCTTTAAATTCCTTGCAACAGTATTAAATAATAATAAACCATCTAGTCTATATCAGATCTTACATATGGTTGTCTTCTGGATTTGGGATAACTGATTTAAATCGAATAATAAATAAAATGAAATGAAATGGGGTTTAACGTCCTATTTTTCATACACTGTGATATCGGTGAAATGTTTGCCACTCTTTATCGAATTCCAACCGTCAGTGGGTTTTTTTGTTTTTTGGTGGTTTTTTTTGGGGGGGGGGGTTTTGCGTGCACTTCACAGTGGCTCCAGGAAAGATAAACATGGAAACACTCGTTTCTTGGGTTTCATACAACATAATTTATAAGCTGTAAGAAGTGGTATCAGATTTTTAAAAAAGGAAAATCAAATCCTGCCCAGTGCATTACACACCATTTTCAATGTTAACAATTGTCGTGACGTCTTCTAACTTCAGAAGCCAATTATCGTGGAGAAAGCATGTTGAAATTTCTTGAGAAGGCATCTGATCAATTAGAAGAAATAGCGGAAAAACGACGTATGGAGATAGAGCGACCATCAACAGATCTTTGTGAGTTGGTTATAAATCGTCAAAACCGAGTGATCGATCTTTTAGATATATACCGTTCAGTTAATCGAGTTAACAAACTTCTACAGCAGAACAGCACTAGGGAAATGGCGGGAAAATATCTGCAGCCTGATACGCCTGATGTTAATCAGCATGATATTGAAAATATGAACGAAGACATTAAAACTTCAAAGTATGAAGAAACAGACACGTCAATGGTTGAAGGGACAGAAACTTTCAAAATTTCTAAAGACGAAAAAATGAAAATTTTAGAAAAGGAAACGAATGAAGATATTGAAAATTTCAAGGATAAAGATGTAAAAGTTAATAAGAATAAATACATGAAAACTCTAAATGTCAAAAATATAACAGTTTTTAAGGATGAAGAAATAGAGGCTTACAAGGAAGAAGAAACAACTCCCACGGAAGAAGCAATCGTTACTTTTAATGGTGAAGATATTGTGAGGAAAACTACAAGGACGATTGGGACAACAACAGACGACAATGATGGTGATGAAGCTAACCAATTACTGATAACAGATACTTTGCAAACCAATCCACCGGGTAATTTACTTGACTGACGTATAATTTACGTCTATCATTCCCTGTCGTTGTCTCCTAGACAATAATATAAGAAAACTTCCACTCGTTATAGATTTTATAAATCTACCAATAAATAACCAGAATCTCCGTGATTTCCACATTTTCTCCATAACCCCTAAAAAATTACTTTTCCGCAAATTATGTTTATGCACGTATGTTTTATAGTATGTTGTTAATACAAGTCCATGTTCCAAGTTGCACTAAAAAAGAATTGTGGTGCGGCAATTACTTTTCCACAAATTATATTTATGGACGTATATTTTTAATGGGCCCTATGTTGTTACTACAAGTCTATGTTTTGCAAAGTTGCACTAAAAAAGAATTGTGGTGCTGGAAAGAATTGGGCTATAAGCCGTATAATGGGCGATCGGGATCCGTAATATTTACTTCATAAAGAACCCAAATTCAACATATTTCGATTGCGGAATAAGCAATTATTGCCCCGCTTACGTTGAGATTTTTAAGGCATTTCAATTTAATTATGGTGTGAATGTTCACCCGACTTGTTAACAAAAAACAGGTCAGAGCTTTACAATTGGAAGGGTTGTTCATATGATTAGAATGACAGGATTGTTCATGGGTCATGGAATTAAAATTGGTCTTCAGTTTTGCTGTTGGGAAGCTGTTGGGAAGCGTAAAGTATTTTTCTTTATTACAGAGATGTAGTTATTTGCTTACGTATCTTGTTTTCCTTTTAATAATCAGCCATGAAGATAGGACGTAGAATCAGAACTCGCTGTAGGGCAATGCGGACCACTATTTCCCGAACCTTTGAAGCATGCCTTGAAAGACAAGCAGAATTGAGACAGCAAGGTAACGGCAATGTTTTACAAAGAAACTATCATAAGAATTCACCCATTTTGTTGTCAGGCATGAGATGTTTAGGAGGCCGGTGACGTAAATAGTCATACTGAAATTATGACGTAAAAAGTGCTGATTTTTTTTCTCATAATTTCAGAGAACTGAAGTGTGGATTTTATTGTGTTCCAACTGAAGTCAAACTAATACCAAAACCGGATGGATATAAATTTGTCTAGATTAAAATGCTTATGAGATTTTGATTTATTGGTCTATTTATTATATTGATTTCCGTGTATGATTTTGAACTATGTATCTTCTGATAAATTGTCTAAAAATTTACGATCATAATACAATTCTAGCGAGAGAAGATGTTGTTACCCAATAAAGCACTTATATGAATAAAAATTGAAAAAGTATTGGGTTCTTTGTGGGTCGAGTGGTGATGCAATTTCTTTTTTTCTTCTATCAAGCTTAAAGTTTCAACAAGAATTTAGCAATAATCTTTTTAGCTACTTTTTGTGTTCCCATAGGCCTATTGTTGTCGCCCATTACTGCCCGTCCGTCCATGATATTTGCTTTTGAACGTGAGTCTATTATACATCTTTCATAAGATATAAAAACTTGTTATTAAGCATCACATTCTTGAGATCTTGAATTAAAGAATTTTAAAAATACATGTTTTGGCTGAATAATTAGCCTTGATTTAGCAAAATAAGTTTTGAACTTAATGTAGACTATAGTCTATATTTCCCGTCCGGTATTAATAAAATTTCGAATCCATGATTTCTCAGATATAACGTTCGAATAGAAACATAAATTTATTTTGCTCTCTTTTATTTTCTGTATGTTTTATTATTTGAAAGTGTTCCATAATCATATACAAAGATACAATAATTATTTGAACCTTTGGGCTGAACTTTGACATAACCTTTAGGTGAAAGGTTTGTGTAGACATCCGGCACGTCATAAAGTTGTGTATACTCTAATGATGACACTCGATCATTTTCAATACCATAGTCCAGTTCAAAATAGTAACCATATAATTCACAGTGTTCCCTCTTGCCGTCTCGTGTGGGATAATCAACCTAAAAATTTAAAACAAAATATGAGAAGATGTTGCAGTTTAGATGTACAGTAGGGCCTAAGCCAAATCGCCCAAATTCTGAGCGGAGAGCCTTCTGCATCAATGTGCACAAGACACACTGCCGAGATAACCCTAACACACAGTCTAATTAAAATTACACCACACCTTCTTTTCTTAGCTTTTATTCCTTAAGAAATTTGTGCTCAGACACCCGAACTTTCACGTAGCCAATAAACAGGTATATTTAGCCAGGGTAAAAATAATTTCAACAAATCACAAAATTTGACATAAATTGATAAGGAATTAGTTAGATCATCATGTAATATGGGCCAAGTAATGATGTAACGATGAGTGTTCAAACCCCATCATTGATGTGTTGCTCAACGGCATCGCTACATTTCGTTTTAAAGTAATAAAGAACACATTGCATGACTGACTATGGTGTCGTGGGCAACGATGATAAGATTGTGTATAAAGCTGAAAAATTAATTGAAATCTTTTACCTCAAAGGTTTGCATCAAACCAGCTAAATTATATCCAATAATAACAACAGATTGATTATTTGCTGAGTGGAAGGAACAGTTGGATACTATTGGTTGCTCAATATTTTGACGTATCGTAGCAGCAAGACTTTCGGTGTAATTATTTGACACACATGTGTAGTCCGAGTCCCAAGCAAAAGAAATGATCTTTTGTGTGAAAGCACCAGCAACAGTTAAAGCTCTATCAATACGAGTCTTACTGGTTCTGTCCAATAATTCAGCCATTCCAGAACCCTGTATATCAACTGGTAAGCACGGGTCATCTCGGAGATATTCAAAAGCTTCTACGTTTAACCAGAACTCAAACCGGTTGCCTGATTTTACCATATTATCCCGTACTTCAGAAAACGCCCGGAAGACCTTAAAAAGAGAAAAAAGATTGACTTATTTTAAAACGTTGCAAATAAGTGAAACCTGGACTCCATAAGCATCTAACGGAATAATTAGAATATTTGTACTGTTTTGTCTCAAAAAATAATTTGATAAATAATTTTATATATTTCATACTAATTTATTTTGGTATGAAAATTATCAAGAAATTATATCCCCCACTTCTTGGTTACTGCTAGTGAAGGCTTCTCTGTATGTTAATTTGATAAATAATTTTATATATTTCATACTAATTTATTTTGGTATGAAAATTATCAAGAAATTATATCCCCTACTTCTTGGTTACTGCTAGTGAAGGCTTCTCTGTATGTTACGCCTTTCTTTATGGTGGGGTTTATATAATGAATCACTTTATCCAAGACCGGATCTACATCCTCAACCCTTAAATCTCGTTCTGTATCCCAATAATAACATCCTTTCCCAGCTCCTCGACCTTCTTGTACAGCTATCACGTCTATAACACCTACTTGAGCCACAAGTTCAAAACCAGCAACGTGTTGTTCTTTTGTGAGATTTACCAGAGCCATATTTAGATTAACATATGGGGAAATAACAAATAATTTGTCGAAATTATGAACTATCACTCCAAGTCTCTTATAAAGATCTAAAAACATGGAATCTGATGTCACCTGACCCAGGCAACATTCGTCAGTTGAGTAATAACCAACTACTGTATTATAAGCTGGTAACAATCGAGGTTTGGTCGATAGAGGCGAAACGAGTTGGCTGTAACGCTGCTTCTGCTCCATGAGCATCCTGTACACCCATGTATAGTAAGCTTCTGCTAATTCGGTTGCAAAACCAACACCAGCCTGAGATGGAAAGGCTGGCAAACCAAAATAAACACTCATATTCCTTTTAGCAGCACTGGCAACTAATAACTCGTGTGGGTCTGTTCCAGCAAACGACGTAAACATAACAGCAACTGGGGAATTTGCAGGAATCTTACATGGTTCACTGAAAAATAAGATTACCAACTGGGGCATTAGCTCATTCGTCAAATCTGTACAGCTGATAAAGCGCAATAGATAAATGATTATTTTGAGTTCATATTATTTTTATTTAATCATTTCTTTTCCAACTTACCCGTCATCAAGTTTTACCAAAGGTAGAATTATTCGATAGTATATCCTAGAACTTTCAATTTTCCGGTCATATTCCGGACACATTAGTAAAGCATCACTGAAATTTTCTTCATAGCTGAAGGTAAGAAAGGTGGTCACATTGAGTCCCATTGCCGACAGTTCTTCTTCAGCCTCATCATAACATTTCTTGCCAAGCACACCAGTACTACTCTTGTAGCTCCCACACCAAACAAAACTGGGATCTCTTTGAAGATCTTCTTTACTTCGGATTACCACTTGCGGGGCTCGCAGCCATACAGTATCGCCACCCTGGGCTTGAAACTCGCCAAGAGCCCCATCCCATTCCTTTGATGTAAATCTGTCTTTGAACCAGGAGGCTGTAATAGGATATTTTGCATCACCAACTACTTCTGTGATAAACAAAACACAGAACAGTAATGTAAGTACCCAAGCCATGGGGCGTTAAAAGCTCTCGAATCAGCTGAATATTAGCTTATCGATATATGTGTTCCAATTGTACTAGTAAATGATATCAGTTACAATACTTCATACTCGAATGTGATATCGTTTCAATGATAAACCCTTACCACATGATGCTATTGAAGTAAAGATAATAAAGCGCGCACTATTTGAATTATTTATTTGAAATTGGTGTTTCGGTTGCCAATGGGTTAATGTACCTGACTGGGACTGAGTTGTAGCAATATTAAAAGGGACCAAAAATTATTCCTAGAAATTTTCTTTTACCATAAAAAAAATATACCATTAATTATTTTGTATAAGTTTGATCCAAATAAATATATTTTTCTGCCACACTTACATTCAAATTATGTTTGTGAGTGTGACCAGAAAATGACCCATTTTCACTGTTTATGCAAGGGTCATCGGCGACATTTTCAGTCATTGGCCGCATGCAACTTAGTCCGGCCCTGCTGAAGCTCCACATGTTATGTACATTACATTATTTGTTCGACAGGCTATAGATTTTATTTTTCTATTGGGAATAATATATCACCACTTCTTGTAGTGGGAGTAGGTCTAGTAATTACTTCTCATTCTTATAACAATTGCTTCCCATGATCCCATTCTTAAAGTTCGTATAAGATTCCTTGGCTGTTGGAATTCGAAATTTTGTGTTCATGCACTGTAAATGAAACCGTTCAAGGGGAAAATACCCTACGATTGAAACGTTGAACCACGGTATTCACTTTAGATTAATGTCTTATTTATGTTTATGAGTCATTCCCGCATGTTGCAATGTCGACACGACCCAATGGACGGTAATTATTCAATAACAACATATTGATCGATAATCTCGGGTAGCTCAGATTATCCTGTGACCCCTGGGCCTTTGTTAATTTGTTCACCTGGTCAATAACACGTAGAACACCCAACATTATATTAATAATGTAAAAGTGCTACTCACACTAAACAGTGTCTATTTACCTTACCTGAGTTGACCTACTATACTGTTTACCTGTACGACTCGCTTAAACTCCCCGATAAGGAAGAGGTATCGCGCTCATAATATTGTGTGACATGTAAAAGGCCGGGATAAACACGTTATTTCACGGACAATATGATATAACGGTATAAACAGGGATAGCCTATCCGCCATTAAGGATTTCTGGATTTCTGGATATGATTATTTTGATGTCAGTGGATAAAGTCAGGCTTGGGTCGTCAATTTGAAGGATATTACGAAATAATAAACACGACTCCATTGTGAAGCTTCATGTAGGATCTGACAAAGATGGCCCTGCGATTACTTGACAGACCGTTAGGTTACAAGGTCGGCTTCGGATTATTGATATTGTCAATTCTTTTAGTCTTAATTGGATATTCAATACCTAGATGGCATAATTACACACATAATTATAATGACGGTTATAATAATGATAAAGAAAAGGAGAGTACCACGTATATATCTGGGTTATGGGGACGGTGTAAAAGTGACTACACTAATTGTGAATATTGGGTAGACGTAAGTGGTAAGTTGAATACGGTGATTTATTTTATGATCAGTAGTGGAATACCGCATTTTATCAGTGAAATAAAAGTGTTATTCCACTGGCTCCAAGCGGACAAAGTAGTCCATGTTGTTTTTACCTAAAATGATTGTAAAATCATAAAATAAATAAAACATTTGTCGTTTTGTCGTGAATAACATATTTTATTTCATCTCTAAGCAAGAAAAAGTTTATATTTTCACTCATGCTACGCATTCGTGAAAATATAAGTTTTCTTGCTTCTCGATGAAATAAAACATGTTATTCACTCTAAAACGACAAATATCCTCTATGTACACCTTACATGTATATGGATTACATTTATTATTCACCCGGTAAACTAGATCAATGTGTTATCGTGAATTTTAACGGTATATGTGAAAGCGCATCGGGATGGCGTTCGGTATTTTAAGTTTAACGGAAAGTCCCAGTAATCATAATCCGGAGCCCTTTGACATGTTTTAGATTCTACCTGGATAGATAATATGTGTTATTGGTAACTACCAAATAAATGTTATAATAAATTTCTGAGGTGTGCTCCGGTATAATTACATACCAAAAAAAACCTAAGTCAAATGTATTTTCAAGAAACACAAATATTATTCTCCTGAGGTTTTTCAAATTATAGTAAAGTTTCATAAAGATATTTTGATCGGATAATGAGATTTGCTCTGAAATGAAAATTGTATACCATACACCAAGTCAAAACACAAACACATAAAATTATTAAATCTAAGTATAATAGGTTGATTTGTGTACAGAGTTTTGTCTTAGGCAGGTTACCGGTTATGGAGTAATATGCCCGGAGCGAAAACTGTATACGAAAAACTGATTCAAACATGTTTCCATGGAAACACAAAAAATATCAAATCCAAGATAAGCAAAATGCACAACTACTATATAGTGTGTTTGTGAAAGGTTTCATAAACATATCTTGAGCGGTTTATGAGATAATGCTCCGAAACAAAACCGGGACGAGTAGATCCCATTAACATATCCCTCCCGATAGCTTCGTTCTGCTCGGGGACATGACAATTCAAGGTGAAAACGATGAGTCAGAGTGTGACAACATGTATTACATTATATTCTATATAATAAATTTGACATGTTTATACACTTATAGGGGTGGGGGGGGTGGGGGGGCTGAATGGTTAGCGTGCGCGCGCTGTATCATAAAGTCTGTCATTGAGTCGACTGGCGTGGTTTCGAATCCCCGGTTGTACGTGGTAAGGAGTAGGGTCGCCTGTCCAACCTCGTGGGTTTTCTCCGGGTCCTCCGGTTTCCTCCCACTGCTAAAGACCCCTACGCGCAAGCGAATTATGTAAATAAAATTAAACCATATGTTAGTCCCGAAATGACCTAGTTTGTGTCGAGTGGGCGTTAAACCCCATTTCTCGCTCTCTCCCTCTTTATACACTTATATTCATAGTATAAATTAAAACAAATCAAATAACACAAGCATAGATCGTGTACTAGTAAATACCAACACTTTCTAGAACACCATTTATACCACTGTTGGTGATAATCATTAGCTATTGTAAACCAGTTTTCGTTGCCTATATATTATGATATAACAAAACAATGTTAATTGATTTTTCATCCAATTTAAGTGTGGTATCCCACATAATTGGTTTAAGAAGTTTATTGATAGAGACTTTTTACTAGATGTTTTTATCTTGTATAATGTTTAATATTTCACTCATGTCCTGGTAGTCAATATCATACCCTTATAAATAACTTGAGCTTTATCGCCTGTCATCTGTCTGACGTTAATGTGTTTTTCGAAAGCAGACAGAACGTGTATTGTTCACCTATATCAAATATATAATATCAAATTATTTGCTGGGTTTGTTTTGTCTTATTACTGTATCTGGGTTCTTTTTCAGGTTTTCTTTACGGTGTTCGAGTGATGAATTCTTTTGGTATTATTTTCATCGGTATTTCTGTAGGTCTAGCCTTTTGGTTGAATTTTTCTGGTCGAGCTAACCGCCATGAAATAGATAATATCTCGGTTGAAATAGTTGCTGGTATTGGTGGTAAGTTAACCATCCTGTTATAGACCACCTGATTCCACTCTTCATTGCAAAAATATTTTACATAATAATAGTTTTCCTGTTCTGTGAGTATAGTCACGGTGCCAAATTAAAGTCACAAAAGGTTAAACATTTCATTAATGGTCAAAATGAGTCTTTGACATCAATTCAGTGTCTATTTGAATGTTAGTCTTAAAAGAGACTCTCCATTTTACAAACCCCTTTGATATAAACCGTTTTTCGCACCTTACTGAAAACAGCTTCAAATGGCTGTTTCGTGAAAATAACTGGCTGGGCGTATGGGAGATGTAGGAGATTATTGTGTTTGAAAATAAAACTTGAAAGTCAACTTTAAATGTATGGTTGTTTTCTGACATCTGAAGGCAAGGGGAAAACGTCATTGCAAGACAACATATTCACTTAAGACCCAGCATAAATTATATATTTTGAACAAATCGGAATAACCAGAACCCTAGGAAAAATTCATATTCAGATTTTCTAAGTGAGTATTTTCGAGGGTGCCGTGTTGGCGTTTTGGCCATCAAAGCGACCCGGGCCTAGTATAAATCAAGTGATAAATACTTCCTGTTTAGAAGACACGTATTGTGCATTTGATTAGCTGACTAAAATCGACAAACGAAAGAATAAAATAATGCACTACGCAAACTCGGGACATGAGACCAAAACAGACCGATACAAAAAAAAACCCCAAAAAAACAAACATTGCGAACATGATAATAATTATTCTAAAAGTTTATTACATCTTTCAGGTATATTTGGTATAATTTGCATTATAGTGTATGCTGTCAATGTCAAGAATGAAAGTTCTACCAATCATATAGATGCTGCTTTCGCTGTGAGTTGCGTGGGTTATCTTATTACGTTAACGGCCGCAGGACTTATTGCGATATCGCATGGGAAAAAAGATAACCCCAAAACAACGAATCCATGGCCTTACGGTCTAGGTTCTGGTCTCGTCGATGCCGGGAGTAGAGAAACACAGATTGATCAATTTCCTGTCGACAATCCGGCCTTTGTAGATCCTACCCAGATTCGGTTCACTAGGACAACTCGACCGCCCAGTTCGTCCGACAATTTGGCTTTTGTAGCACCGCCCTATTCACTTCAACCAAACAGCAATCCTCCAGGACCGTATTATCCGGCTCAACCAGTACCACCGGAAAGAAAAAAACACAATGTACACGATGCAGCTAATACGTCGTATGGGCAGATGTCTGAAGACGAAGCCCAGCCACCTTCTTACGATTCTATCATGTCACTCGACTCTAGCGCCTCTGATGTCAGAAATGTTCATATGGATCCAAATCCACAGCAAAGATCGTATGCCCGTTTCCCTCGTATGGTTACAAATAATGAAGTAGAACTCTAACAACCACGTGCTTTTATTAGAAAATTGTATATTTTATGGTTCAAAAAGAAATTGTATATTTTACGATATGAAATGAAAATTGTTTTTTTTTATGATGTATGAAAAGTGCTACTAAAGCTGAAGCAATATATTTAAATAGCCGTTACAACGCACAGCTTTGTCATAATAAAAATATTAATTATTCCTTAGATCCAATTTTTTTTCGAAAATGTTCACTTTGAGAATTTCATAAACCAAACTGTAGATATCTTGAACATCTGAAAAAAAAAATCCAAATTTAGGTTCTATTGGGAAAATCCTTATAATAATTAAAACATTCTGCATATCTAAATTTTATACTCTGTATCAGTTAAAACTGCGTCTGATACTGAAATCAAACGGATTAACAGTTTATTTTGTACCTTTCTATAGAACAGACACGATATACCAAAGAGAACACTCATAAATCAAGATATAAATAAAGGGGGGTAACTGTGACCGACTTAAAAGAAATAATAATTCGCATCTTCAATTTGATCTATAAATTATGCATTAGCACTAGATTACGGATTCCCATTTAACTACTTACATTAAATTATCTATATTTATAACCTACGTTTTATTCAAAATCAAGTTAAAAGGATGTTCGTCGTGTATTTTTTGTTATTCTGATATATACATGTAAAAGTTGTATTTCGTTTAAGATTTTTAACATAATATTCTCTTTATAAAGCGAAAACATTAGTCAAACAATGATACATTATCCGAGCTTTTTAAAATGTCATAAGAGATAAAAATTGAATAACGCTCGTAAAATAAAAGAATATCAAACAAATGAGATTATACAACATAGTATTTCACATTTCTAGCATTCCACATCTCTATTCTTTTAAAGATCTTTATTATGTAAGATTTCGATAAAGAGCTGGGCTATATTAGTTAAACATTAGATAATGAAAACGGAATAATTTCAGTCAAATTACTTCATTCTGAGCGTAGTAGTGTAGTCTCGAATGTCGTTGCTACAATAATAAACAAAGTCTCGGTTATTCATTTTTAATTAATTTATCAACTGACAATTGTGTTTAAATTCGTTGAAAATCACAACCATCCGATGTTCTAGAGGATAGATTTTGGGTTTGGCATGTGAATAAATGTCTAATTAATGATTTATATAACATTTGAGGCCAAACGATAGATCTGGAAAAGGCAGATTTAGATCTTACGCAATGTATCTTTGACAAAATAAATATAAGGTTATTTAGCTAGAAGTAGAAATGAAAATGAAATGGTTAACATATTACTTATTATACCAAAGAATCCTATTTCTTTTTTTATGTATAAACTGTTTTTCTTTATAGATTGAACATATTTTTAATAAATTTATGCATTAAGAACATGCATATTTTATGGCAATTTAAGATTTAAGTTAGGTGATAATAATTATCATCTTCGCACCATTAGGATTTTATGATTTATTTGATTGGAATATCAGGAGAAGACAATATAGTTTAAGATGATCAAGCCGTTTACTGTTGATGAAATCGCCCTCGTTAACAATATTTCACAATTGTTTTGTTTAGTTTGTATGAGAAAACAATCTGGTTTTTTTTTAATTATTATATGGCGAATAATAGTTGGACAATTAAACCAAAATTATTTTACTTTTTAGTGAATTGTAGCCATGTTGTCGTCCATATATATTTTTTTATTTTAACCCGAATTGTTAATTAAGGATCAAGCTTGACTGTCGTCTTCTTGACTAGAACTTTTTAAAAACTTGAATCCGTTAGTGGTAAACATTATCTCTTTGTTGAACATTAGATCATTGATGTGCGTCGATCAGATCTTTGAAATAGGTTGCCGTTCAACAAACAGGCTCCCGAGCAGTTTTTAAATTCTTCTGGAGTATTTTTGTATTTTTTTTTTTTATTTCTTTTTTTTAAATTCCATATTTTATATTTCACTGGATTGAAAGTAGAAAATCCAAACCATAAAGACGACGTAAAAATGATGAATTCCTACACGAATTGCCTTTCAATCTTCAAAAATGGGAGATAACTCTTACAAGCTTAAATGTACATTTTATGATAACGCACGGCTGTACACAGAAGATTATTATTTTCTATAATCTGAATGACGAAGTAAGCCATGCTTTGTATATAGATATTGTTTATGTCATATTATGTTCTTGCCATAACAAACTTTTCAGTCTTTTTTAAGAAAGTGTCTGGTTAGATCTGGGGCTTTTATATTAAATAATTTCTTTCATATTATATTTGTAATTTTAAATCGTTTTTTATCGCGACATAAGTACATGTTATTACGATATTTTGTATTTTAATGAATTCTTAGAATGAGTTTATTATTGACGAAATGTTAAGTTAAATAAACGTTATTTTTATCAACCAATCTCTTAAAAGTTCATGAAAATGTTTTTTTTCAAATGTTAATCCAGAGCGTTATTCAATGAATGTATCTGTGATAGATCTGCATATTAAGGGTGGGGTCTGTCGTGTGGTCTAGCGCTTTAGGTCATAAGGTCTGTCATTGTGTGGCGTAGTTTCGATCCAAAACTTTTACGAGACAAATAGTAGGGTCCCCTGTATAACGTCATGGGTTTTCTCTGGGTCCGACTGTTAAAGACCCTACGTACAAGCGAATTATTGAAATAAAATTGAATCGTATATAATATTAGTCCTGAAAAAAGAACAAAGGAACTAGTTTTACTTTGAGTATTGGGTGCATGTCAAGGAGTTCGCTCCTGATATCACAAAACTTTTGCACGCCACCATTGCATATTTAACCGAGTTTACCTTATAATATCAATATAATAATGATGTGAAAGTAACGTGTCCGTCTTCATTAGCCCAGTATAGGAGCAGAACAGTAGGACGTTAAACCCCATTTCATTTCATTTCATTTCTATTAAACTTGCGCCTGTAATGTTATCTAAATTATTAATTAGACATTAATTAACCTATCCAAACAGTAATCAAATCTAGATGGCATCGCTAGCCTGCGATCTTTAGTGGATTATGAGCCGATTTACTGCATAACTTTCCTTCACGATTTAACGATTAAATGGATAATCGAGACTATGCTTTTTATCGTACTGACTTTAGTAGTGATGATCGAGGTTAGGCGGAAATTTCAATCGCTTAGTTCTCGGTTCATAGTGGATCAATTTGAATGAAATTTTCAGCAAATTGCCTTTACATTATCTAGATTTTAAATATTATAGTGAGAACTGCCAACTCGTTATCGAATCCCCCATAATGTATCTTTAAAGCTGAACCCTTACAGAAATGAAATGAAATGGGTTTTAACGTCCTACTGTTCTGCACCGAACTGGGCTAATGAAGACGAGCATACGCCATACAGTGTGCTATGAGCGAAATTGTGCCCGGACAGCCGCAATACGGTCTACTCTTATATAGAATTACAACTGTTGAGGGATCTTTTACGTGCACGCCAATGTGTACACTGGACCTCGGTTTTTCGTCCCATCCGAACAACTAGACAGCTGTCCTTGTCAGACCCTCCGTCATGCATCACTAACAAGGGGATCCACGCCGGAAAATCTGGATGAACTTTCTCGACCAACGCTGGGATCGAACACCCGACCTCCAGACTAGCCACTCAGCCACCGTGCCCCCCCCCCCCCTTGAAACCTTACAAATTAATGGTAATACATGTTTTATAAGATACTATTTAGCTTGTTTTGGCTTAGCCCTGTCTTTCTTTAAAACTAGTCAAAATATCCTATATAGTTGCTGGGCAAAATATCCTATATGGAGCGACGTATGGAGTAACAAAGAGGCCTGCATGACACCCGCGGCTTGTTTGTGCTATAGTTGCGAGCTTGCTTCAAAATATCCACCTCGATCATTATTTAAAACATACTTGTAACATCACATTTAAAACAGCTAAACCTCTAACTCACTATTGTCCATAATATTGGAAAAATAAAAACACAAATTAGAATTCAATCAACATGAATGCTGTTAGTTCCGTTAGAAACTAAAAGAACAGGCCATACTTCCTGTCGCGGGACAAATATATGAGCCCCTGATCCCTCGAATATAAATTATTTAGCATTTTATGTACTAGAAGTTGCATAATCCTTCTCATATCGTCTTCTGGTATAATGAGGGATTATGACATTTGTTATTGTGTTATTCGAGATTATCCTGGTATTAATTATGCTTAATTTTTACATAAACATATTTAAGTAGGTTAACCGATTTATTTATATACGCATCTAATTTCCTGCATAATATTATATCCACCATTCAAACATTTACTATAACGAAACGCCTGCTTATACATAATTATGTGGATTGTGGGATAACTGACCATGTTAGTACACTCATTCTAAATAATTCAGTCGTTTCTTCTAGCCAGGTGTGAGTACAGCCATTCTTATAGAAGAGAAAGAGTAAGAGAAATTTAGTACTTACAACTTATCAAAAAGTGTTTTTTGATAATGACAAGGGAATTAGAATGAGAATATTCAAAGTTTCTTATACAGCGATTACTTATAAAGGTAATAGTGATTTATATCATTTTGTCCAAGACGGATAAAAGAAATATAGATAATGTTTTCTCGTTATGGATTTCTAATGAGGCATGCGAATTAATCCTGCTTTTCTAACATACCTTTCCTATATTCCTGGAGCTCTTTAAATCAACCCATCCTTTCGTGGATCAGAATAAATTAATCTGAACAGTCGACGTATATACGTCTAAAGATAAGTATTAGTAGATTTTACATATATTATACTACACACTTGCTGTGATGATAAAATTTGTATGTCTATTTGTGTGTTTTTATATATAAATCCACCGAGTCAAACGTCATTTCGTTTCGCAGAACGACCAAAATTTAGCATGTAATCTAATCTTATTGTTGAGATTAATTTCTATTTTTATAAAAGAGGTGCATCTTATTTTTATTACACAAAAGTTTATTGGGTGTCTGTCGTAAGTCTAGACTTATTATTATTATATCTAAATTCTAATCAGTACAACAGGTTGTCTTACGTATTATTTATTTCAAACTTAATAGATTTGAATTACGTGTTTACACGGATTAAGAACCCAAAATACCATTATTGCGTTTTACTCTATCTAATTCTTCAAGATCAACAAGTTCACATAGCATTGAAGTACATGCTTTCAATAATAAAACAAAATAATTAAAATTCAATTATCGGTATAAAAAAATCTGACTTGCTTGTTTCTCTCATAATTAATTACAATGCCTTCGTAACGGTGTTATTTAAAAACATTAATGTAGTTGTTGGATTACGACGAACAACATAATTTACAGTTACAGGTATTCCTGCTTTTTTTATAACGTACACATTTTGATGTAGACTTGTATTATTGTCGTCACCACTGTCCATCCGCCCGTCTAAATTTTGTTTGTGAACACTCTGCATCTACAGGTCACAATTTTTATCCGAATTTGATGAAACTTGAGACATAGGTTTATATCCCAAAGAATTCGGTTAGCGCATATCGGGACCTTAACTTCCTGGATCATGGCCCCTGATTGTACAAAAAAATCACGTTTTTAGTTTGTGGATCATCCAGTGGACCCAAATTTATCCGATTTTGATGAAAATTAAAACATATATGTTTATATCCAAGAGATCTCGGTTCCCATCGATATTGGCAGAAATCGGACCTTAACTTCCTAGATTATGGCTCCTCATGATTGTACGAAAATGACGTTTTTAGCTTGTAGACCCTCTTTAGAGGTTTCACTGTTTATTTGATTTTGAAACCTGTTCAAATTAGGGTCGAGTTCAAATTTCGTAAAAATAGGACGGAGACTGTCTGACAAAATTACCGCCCCCGTTTACACAAATAGTATAATAAGCATGTAATACCAAGGTTTTGGACTCTCTGGAGGTCACAATTTTTATCCAATATTGACACATGCCTGATCGTAACATCCTGGATTATGGCCCCTGATTGTACGAAAAATCGCCTTTTTTTAGCTTGTTCTCTGTCCATCTCTTGCAAAATATGGGCGTGTCTTGCTTGGCAACCGCTTTTCTTTTGCGGTGACCCAGTTAAATGATCGTGTCAACTTTTATAATTATAATATTATGGTATAGTCACACATTTGTACCAGGATGTAAACTGAACACACTCTATATTTATTTCCGCGCTATTTCCTATATGCACCATTTATTATAATTTGATATGTAATTTAAATTTGTTTCGTATAATAGTTTATCGTGTTTAGTGTTGTAAGATATACTATATTTCTAACGTGTTTCATTTTATATGTAATTTGCCAGGTCACAGGGCATCCCCCTCAATAATTTGCAAATATATGTTCATATAGCCCCCGGGACAGCCATTTTGGTTCACTACCCTGACAGCCCCCACCCCGAAGGACGTGTATCAACGTCGTAATACAGCTCTGTGAGTGTCCTTAAAGATATAATCATATTTATAGGGTAGGTATTTCCAATACAAATATGGCATATATGGTATATATGGACAGTAAAGACACCCACCAGAAAAAAAAACACCCATGGGGCGCGCACAGTACAAAACTGCGAGGGAGTTTCTCATGTGTTGTCTAATGATTAAACGGTGGAAAAGAAATTAGCAGAGGGTAATCCAGAAATTTACTTAGCTTTCGATATTTATGCTAAATGGACAGCTACTAACGACAAATACAAGCTGATTTGGTAATTAAGTCATGTGATAAAAACAGCTCACGAAAACGGCTTTCTTCCGATTAGTATATTTTGAGGGGAATTTGTAGCAAACTTTTGATAGATGAATTAGTTTTTAGTCAAATATAGCATCAAATCACACGTTTGTACGTGGAAGAGTATCTTTAAAGGAGCTAAATCGCTAATATTTGGGACCTAGAAATTGACACAAATTGGTCGCAACGCATATAATAAAGTAATATGAATGTATATAAACTGATTTACATTTAATCGTTTCCGTTTTTACTCTAATTTCAAATCAGTTATGTTCGGCGAAATATGCCAGAAGTGTCAATCGAATGGCAATCTCTAGCGTCTGGTCTACACCGATAGTATTTATTGCGCATGCTCTCCAAATAAGAATATGGCCTCACCGTTGGGCATGACTTGTGAAATATGTCTAGCCTCGTTCTTCGAGTACCTTATTACAAATGGCGCTGAAACGCATTATGGTACACGATTCGTGTACCAATGGTAAAATGTTTATTTAGTCTTAAATATTGGAGATCAGAAGCCCATCTTTTCACGATTCGATAATGTTGATTAAAATTGACAAATAATTCGTGTTTTCAATGTCGAAGACTTTGGATGATATTGAGTTAGAGATTTAGCTACTTTAAAGTAGGCCTTTATCTACAATGTGCACCTGTGTATTTGTCCTAATG